GATGTTTTATAGCAAGGAGGGGAGTGATTAACTTTTCAGTCTAGGAGTGGAGTTCACTAGGACCATCAAGGGAGAAGAGCAGAGAGCAGGACCCTACCCAGAGAAGCAGTGATGCCTGAAATGGAGCCAGTGATGATGATGTGGAGCTATGGAGCAGCTGAAGACTCTAGACCCAGAGAGGGAGAGTGACTGTGAGCTGAAGACCTGGGGGGTACGGGTGAAGGATTGCATGGAGGGGATTGTAACCATGGCAATGAGAGACAATATACGATAGAATGAATGTAAAACTAATGTTCTCCCATGTATACTATCACATAATTCACAATAAATCATAAAAAAATAATATATATATATATATAATGAATAGTGTATACCCTTTGGTTGGTGGTGATGCATGGAGGGGACTGTAACCATGGCAATGAAACAATATACAATTGGATGAATGTAAAACTAATGTTCTCCCATGTAAATTATCACATAATTCACAACAAAACATTAAAAAAAATAATAATAATAATGCAATCTTTCTAAAAAAAAAAACCTTATGGCTTACAACAGAACACAGTCCAACTTGCTTTCTTTGGACACATCTTTGGACACTAGAAGAAGACGTCATGTTTGGTGAAGTGAGAGGAGCCCACAGGGAGATGGACTGGCACATGCTCATGACTGTGAAGATGATGCAGGACCATACAATGTTCCATTTTGTTGTATATGAGTCAGAGTCAACAGCAACGATCTATCATCGGTCTATCAAATTCAAGCAGTTTAGAGACAGTAGAAACAATGAAAGAACATCTTAGCAATCTCCTACATAAATGTGGTGGATTACAAAATGCTCCAATGGTGATGGGTAAGAACCACACAACAGTGTGTCAAACAACCACAGTCACTAAACTTTACAGTGAGTTCCTCTACCTCTTTCAACCTGGGTTCCTTAATTATTGACTTAAAAAAAAAAAAAGACTTTGCTCAGACCTCAACCAGTGTGTCTGGAGCTGGCTGAGATCTTGGTCAGAATCCAAGCCCAAGTAGCATCTGTATCATGGATGGTGAGTTTGCTTATAGTCCAAATCACCCCAATCTTGTGGGAAGTCTACAGCCCAACCATTGCCCAAGCAAGGAAACCTTAATTAGTCTTTTCAAACTGGTGAGGGAATAACTTTAAATTGACACAACTGTAAATTCATTAAGTTTATATTGAATTCAAAACAGTCTGCTGTTGTTAGGTGTTGTTAAGTCAATTCCGACTCATAGTGTTTCATACAACAGAATGAAACACTGCCTGGTCCCGTGCATCCTTAATATTGTTATTTTGTTTGAACCCATAGTTGCAGCCACTGTGTCAATCCATCTCCTGGAGGGTCTTCCTCTTTTTTGTTGACCCTCTATAACAAGCATGATGTCCTTCTCCAAGTACTGGTCCTTCTTGACATATGTCTAAAGACGGTGAAATGAAGTCTTGTCATCAATGCTTCTAAGGTGCTTTCTGCCAGTCCATATTCTCAAACTAACCTAGGTATCCCTAATCTATAAACCAGGGACTCATAGTAAATTCAGATTAGAGGCTTTTATAACATTTTCATAGTGGGTTAGTTATGTTACTGTTGTAGACACAAGAAAAGTGACCCTTATTAAAACTGAATAAAATGGAAGGGTTCAGGAATTGTTTAAAAGAGACTAAGCACTAGAAGATAAACATGTAAATGCAATGAAACAGGACTTAATGTAAGAACTTTATTGGTAGGAGAAGTAGCAATGCCAAGTCAGCACCCTTTGTCTCAGATGATAAAACACATCCACATGGTCCACAGTGTTGCTTTAAACAAAAATCCAAATTGAGCAAACTATTCAGTGTAATAAGACAACTTTTAGTAAGTAAGCTATTCATGGGATGGACAACTACAAAATAACAATCTATTGACTTGTATGCTCTCCCCAGTAGCCAAGCTATAAAGTTCTGTCACTGCCCACTAGTCCTGAACACCTGGTGAGTTGGTAGTTGTAATCCCTGTTCTAGAAAGAAGAGCATGCCATTCAAGAAGCTGTACTTTCTTTCATATCTTACCTACTACCCACTGCCCTAGTGCCCCTTCCTAGCTACATAGCCCATATCTGTTATCCACAATTATTAATTGTGGGGCCTTGGACAATTTACAACTTCACGGAGACTTATTTTCCTCATCTGTAACATATCTGCTTATTTATAGTATGGCCAAGAACTTCTGTGAACTATAAAGTTCTATACAAATTTAATAAGTGATTTTAGCTAGGATGTAATTATTATGTTATTGATAAGATGCATAGGGTAGGGAAGGAGATGGGGAAAAAGGAAGGTCTTTTACCTCTCTTCTGGTCCTCCCCCTCTCTGCCCTTAGCCCACATCATTAACTCGAGTCATACCTACATCTAAGACTTCCACCAGTCTGGATATTCTATGCATACTGTGCCAAGTCTATTTCTCAATAACAAAAATTGAAATAAAGGACCTAACCACAGTAATATAACTACAGAAAAATAAGCCTTGTATCTGTGCGATGTTCTTCCATTTCACAGTGTAATTTTATATACCTTACCATTTAATTCTCATAACCAACCTGTACTATGAGGCCAGTTTTGTGCATGAAAAAATTGAGGCTTGGAACATTCAAATTGCCTGTCAGGGCTTGGATTCAAATCTAGTTGTCAGATTCCTTCTACCATACAACAGTTTCTGATGTTAGAAGTACTGATAATCCTGGTTCAAGAGTTCCTCTATTACTGTGCAGAATATATAACCATAAGTAAATTGGTAGCTTCCAATAATTTTATTAGAGAAGCAAAATGTATGGACATTGCAGGTATGAGTACAACCTTGTTAGGAAAGAGACTATCTAGAGTGGTGAACAGGAATATTGTATCTTGGACTTACATCGTACACCTGAGGACTGGTCAGACATCGAGCCAGCAAGCCACACCAAGCTGGAAGAGTGGTGGTTAACGGGGGCCCACTGTGTGTGAGGGTGGGCTTCAAGTAACTTTAAAAAGGCATTAAGGAAAAATGTCTAGGAAGGAAACAAACACCCAACAAAACGTATTTAAAAATTCATAGTAAATTATCTAACATTCTAGCCACAAAATGAGTATCTCTTTCCCTATTCTACCAGTACAGTACAGGAAATACTTATAATGGCCATCTGAACCAGTTGGAAACTGGTTATGCTATGCTCCATCAGTTTTAAATGTGAACTGTTCAATCTCAGGCTGGCGATTCCTAATTTTGAATTAAAAAAGGACTTGATTAATTACAACATCCTTCTTCCTTTTATATCCAGCTTTTGACCCACAATCAGCTCATGTCTTGGACACAGAACACAGAGTGCCCAGATATGGGGATTTTCCAGCTCCTCGGTCCTCTCTAAGTATTCTTGTTAAACCATTCTACCCAGAGTTCATACAGTGGAATTGTTAGTGTTTGACAGGACCTAAGTCCTGGTGTGGCACTGTGGGCTCATGCATCAGACTGCAAAGTCGTTTGAACTGCAAGGTCACCAGCTGCTCCTTGGAAGCCCTATACAGAGTTGCTATGGGTAGGAACTTGATGGCACTTAGCAACAAGAAGTAACTGCGGCAATTTTAAATAAGAAAACTGTGACTTGGTGAGGTGAAATGATTTTAACTAAGCTACTCAGATTATAAATATCCCAACATCCCATACTGGTGTGGCACTGTGGAATAAGCACTAGATTGCTACCACCAGCCACTCCTTGGAAACCCTATACAGGGTCATTATGAGTCTCAACGACGCTTAGCAACAGCAGTAGCACCCCATACAAGACTATTTTCCCTCCACTTGCTGCCTCTCTTCCAGCCTCTAACATAGGATTTTGAATCTCAGCACTTTTGACAAAAAGAGCCCTGAGGGTATACAGTAGTGTAACGGAAAGATTGATGGGAGAAAGATGTGGCAATCTACTCTGTAAAGATTTACAGTTTTGGAACCCCCATGGGGCAGTTATACTACACCTTACAGAGCTGCTATGCATTGGAATGGACTCTACCACAATGGGTAGGTTTATTTGTTTTTTACTATTAACATTTGGACTGGATAATTCTTTGTTGTAGGGGCTGTCCTGTGGACTTTAGTAGGCTATTAAGCAGCATACTTGGTCTCCCTCCAGTGGTGACAACCAAATTTGTTTCCAAGCATTGCAAAATCACCCTTGGCTGAGAAACATTCTCTAACATGAAAGCCAACTGAAATGTGGAAAGCTTAGTAAGTGTCAATCTGTGACTGTTTGTGCTGCCAAATGCACAGCCCTATGTCAGAAACACTAGAAAACACCTGTCATGGTGTGATAGAGCTGGGACCATTTCTGATTCTCACCATCTAAGTAATGTGGAAAAAGTTGAGACACTTAACTACATGAGTGGCCAAGTGACTTTAAAAGGAGATGAGAAAGTGGCAGAGCCATTTGGGTACTCAAGAGGTGAACTGTAAGTACCACCAATGCCTGTTTTCACTTTAAGAAAATGAGATAAGAAGCTTTAGCTTTAGAAAGAGTTCAAAAGGTAGACACTAGGGTAAACTTTGAACTGGGAATTACTAAACCAAAGGGGTTCTGGGGACTTTACAAACAGTTATTCTCCCATCTGACTTTTAACTACATACCCAGCCTTAGCTCACTTTGAGAACAGTCTCTCTCTGTAGCTACTGTCTTTAGCTCGGAAGATAAGAGAAGCTTGGATTTGTAGAATGACTAGGATAAGACTAAAGAGTCAAATTAGAGGGGAAACACAAGAGGCTACATTTCAGTCCCCTGGGAGAAGCTCCTCCTTCCTTCAAATATACAAGGCTCTCTAGCAACTTCTTTAAAAAAGATAACTTACATATATGTGTGTGTGTATATATATATACATGGTATTGGTGGTGGTGATTGTGTGCTATGGAGTCAGTTCCGACTCATAGCAACCCTGTATGCGGTTTCCGGGGCTGTAAATCTTTATGGGAGCCGAAAGCCTCTTCTTTCTCCCATGGAACGGCTGGTAGTTTCGAACTGCTGACCTTGAGGTTAGCAGCTCGACTCATAACCACTATGCTACCAGAGCTCCTTGTACATATATGGTGGTGTGGTGGTGGCTGTGTGCCGTGGATTCGCTTCCGACTCATAGCGACCCTATACAGGGTTTCCGAAGCTGTAAATCTTTATGGGAGCAGAACGCCTCAACTTTCTCCCGCGGAACAGCTAGTAGTTTCGAACTGCTGACCTTGCGGTTCGCAGCCTGATTTGTAACCACTACGCTACCAGAGCTCCTTTGTACGTATATACATGTATATATTTATCTACCTATCTATCTATTGATATTTTTAAAAATATATTCAAATTGATGGAAGGACACAAAATGAAATAACAAGTCTTTGTCACCCCAATTGCTCTGGTAATTATCATTACAACTTACCATAATACATTTTTCTCCTGTTTCTTAATTTATCAACTTTAGTCAGAGACTTTTCATTTTTTTCCTATGAGGGATAGAAAATTGAACTCATTTATACTTACTACCATCTCTTCTTTACAAATTTATTCTTTTCCAATTATATAAACAAATTTTCTAGGCTTTTTCTACAGATTGAATCTAAATTTTAGAATACAATAGCAGCATTTACAATAAGCCAGGAGTCCTGGTATGACGCTGTGGGTTAATGTGCTGGACTGCAAAGTCAGTTGGTGGTTCACCAGCCGCTCCTCGGAAACCCTCTACAGGGTTGCTATGGGTCAGACCCCACTCAATGGCACTTCACAACAACACAATAATGTTAATGGTGGTGTGCCACTGAGTCGATTAAATAATGCCAATATATGAGTATTATCCACTGTAGAACCAAGCAGAGTGACTGAAGTATTATAAAAGGAAATGCAATACTATTTAATTTAAATTTTGTTAGTCAAAGGAGACTCTTTGGGTATCTTGCTAAATAATGAATCTTCTAAATTATTTTTAACTTTTGTTCACTTCTGGATTACAAATCACTGTTTCTTCAATACTACTCTCCCTTTGTTTGATTTTGTTTTGTTATTTTTTAGCATTTTATTGTGGTTTGGGTGAAATTTTACACAATAAATTAGTTTCCCATTCAACAACTTATAAACATTTGTTTCCCATCAATGTAGCAGCAGTCTTCCCATAGTCCATATTCCCATTTCCATCTTTCCTGCCCCATTTTCACTTCTGAACTTAAAGTTCTGGGCAAATGCTACCCTTTTGGTCTTGTATGGTTGACTGTTCTGAGGAACAGTTTGCTCACGGGTGTTACTGTTCACTTTGTTGTAAAGTGATGTTGAGTCGGTTTCAACTCATAGCTACTCTATATAGGGTTTTCAGAGGCTTTAAATCTTCGAAGGAGCAGAAAGCCTCGCCTTTCTCCTGCAGAGCAGCCGGAGGGCTCGAACTGCGGACACTGTGGTTCGCAGTCCAGTGCTTATCTTATAGAGCCACAGCATTCCCTTGTTGACTTTATAGGCCTATTATTTGGCTGAAAGGTGATGTCTGGAAGTGAGTTCAGTTCCAGGTTTGAAGGGTATCTAAGGGCCAATCAGGGTCGCTATGAGTCAGAACCGACTCCACGGCACACAGCCACCACCACCAAGGGCCAGTCTTGGGGTTACAAGTCTCTCCCAGACAAGTCTGGTCTTTTTATGAATTTGAATTTTGCTGTACCTTTTCCTCCCACTCTATCAAGTTCCTTCTATTGTGATCCCAATCAGAGCAGTCAGTAGAGGTAGCTGGGCACCATCTAGTTGTGGTCTCAGAAGGTGAGACCTAGGCTGTGCTTCATGGATATATTTGAAGCACATATAAATATGTATGTAAAAATACCCTCTGTCTTCTTTGGTGAAGTGTCTGCTCAAGTCCTGGGCCCATTTATTAATTGGATTATTTGTGGTTCACACGGTTCATTAGTCCTATAGACTAATAGCTTCATTGAGTCTTTGGTTCTTTCCACTCCTCTTTGCTCCACACAGGAAGAGCCATATCTTAGATATAGCCATATCTTAGATAAGTACTCGCAAGCTTTAAAGACTCCAGTTGGCTACTCACCAAAATGCTTGTAGAACGTGTTCTTTAAGGACTATGTTATGCTAATTGACCTAGATGTCTCCTGAGACTATGGTCCTGATCCCTCAACTCAAGGTGTTTGGTTATGGCTAAGGTATTCTCATAACTTTGTTCCTATATGCTCTACTATTGTTGCTATGTTGCTATGTGCCATCGAGTCGGGATCCAACTCACAGTAACCCTGTACAGGGTTTCCAAGAAGCAGCTAGTGACTCCAAGGAGCAGCTGGTGAGTTAGAACTGCCGGCCTTAACGGCCCAAACCAACATTGCTGTTTACCGCATTAATTGACAATGCCACACCAGAAGTCCATGCTCTACTATGTTGTTGTTATATGCCGTGGAGTCGGTTCCGACTCATAGCGACCCCGTACAGGGTTTCCGAGGCTGTAAATCTTTATGGGAGCAGAAAGCCTCATCTTTCTCCCGCGGAGTGCCTGGTAGTTTCGAACTGCTGACCATTGCGGTTCGCAGCCCGATTCGTAACCACTACGCTACCAGAGCTCTTTATGCTCTACTATAGTCATGGATATATTTGCAGCACATATAAATGTTTGTAGAAATACCCTCTATCTTCTTTTGTGAAATGTCTGTTCATGTCCTTTGCCCATTTATTAATTGGACTGTCTTTTTCTTATTGAGGTATTTTGTAGTTTTCTTTGGATAAGTCTTTTACATCATTGGTTAGATTTATTCCTAAGTATTTCATCTTTTTGGTGGCTATTGTAAGTAGTATTATTTATCTGATTCCCTTCTCAGAGTTCTCTTTATTAGTGTAGAGGAATCCGACTGATTTTTGTATATTGATCGTGTACCCTCCTACTTTGTTAAATCATTCTATTAGTTTCAGTAGCTTTCTTGTAAGCACGCCACACTCTTGTCTTTGGTCTCTCAGCTATGTGGTCCCTTGGTCTTTGCTCTGCTTGGGGAAGTGCCACAAAGCTCTTTTAGCCAGTCTGTGAATGCACAAAGAGCATTCTTCAAGCCAGTTTTCTGCCCACAGGCACTCAGCTTTACTCAGTCCATGGGTCTAGAGCCCAAAGCTGCTCTGTCTCTCCATGCCACCACCTCTGCCAGTCACCTTTGCCATCGCTGTTTCTCTAAGAAGGAATCTCACACTTCATTCTTGCTCTGCCTTCTTGATGGTACTGAGATCTTCTGTCTCTGCTTTGGAGATGGCTCCTTATAAACCTAGCTGGAGGGCAAAACTAACCAATCCCAGCCTTAGAGTCCTGTATAACTTACTTGCATGGTCCCACCCAACCACTTGGTGGGAATTAAAAAGACTTTGGATAGAAAAGCCATTATCAGTAAATACAAGGCACCACAGGAGTTAAGATGTTGGTTCTTTCTTCTTTTTGGATGTATGTGTTTATTGCTATAAATTGCTTCTGATCACTGCTTTTGCTGTGTCCAAAAGGAACCTGGTGTGCTGCTGTAGGACCACAAGGTTGGTTTGAACCACAAAGTCAACAGTTCAAACTCATCAGCCACTCCTCGCAAACTCTATACAGAGTTGCTATGAGTCGGAAATGACTTGACAACATTTGACAACCACAACAAAAGTTTTGATATGTAGTGTTTTTATTCATGTTTGATTCAGGGAATTTTTATTTCATTTTCTATCTCTTCAGTTACCCAGTGGTTTTTAAGCTGGGTGTTAACTCAATTTCCATGTATTTTCTTCTTTTTTCTTGTTGATTTCCAATTTAACAGCACTGTTATCTGAGATGTGTTGTATTCTTTCAATGTTTTTAAATGTATTAAAGCTTGCTTTGTGGCCTAATATGTGGTCTATTCTGGAGAATGTTCCATGTGCGCTGAAACTGAATGCATGCTGGGCTGCTGTTGGGTAGAGTGTTCTGTATGTATCTATGAGGTCAAGGTGGTTGATTGTGTCTTTGTCAAGTTTCTTTCTAGTTGCTCTTTCATCAAAAGTGGTAAATTAAATGTTGCGCTGTAGGATAAACACTGGACTGCTAACCACAAGGATGGTGGCTCATACCCACCAGCCACACCTTAGAGACTTTATACAGGGCACATAACAACAACAACAATTATTGTAGAGCTGTCTATTTGTCTCTTCAATTCATTAGAATTTGACATGTATTTTGGGGCTCTTTTGTTAGGAACATAGATATTTATTTTGGTTATGTCTCCTTGTTCAATTGACTCTTTAATCATTACATAGTATCCTTTTTTGTCTCTTATACAGGTTGATGATTGTTGTTAGATTGATATATATTTTCAATCCTTTGATTTTTTTTTTTTGTTTATTTTTGTCTTTATGTCTAAGGTGTGTTTTTGTAGACAGCATAGTGGTGAGTCCTGTTTTCTTATCCATTCTGCCACTCTCTGTCTCTTGCCTGGTACATTTAATCCATTTACATTCAGTGTAATTATTGCTGAAGGTTGAACTTTTTGTTTTTGAATTTGCACTTGGGATCACTTGAATCTATAGAATAAGGTCTATCCTGCATTAACCACCACCCCACCCCCCAATTAGGCCAGGATCAGATCACACAAAGCCTGGATCAGAATTGGCTGATTACAGCAAGCAGAAATTATCATCCCTACATGGATTAACTGCCCAAGCTCCCCTTCTCTTTATGATCACAGAACAGTTCATAGCATAATTTCAACGGATTCATCTACAAAGTCATATTCCCCTGTAAACATATTTCTCTGAAGAGTCACATGAGTCTACCAGGCTTTAGGTTCACTGCTGATAGGAAAACACTCCTCTTACCCAGAAAGTTGCTCATCATGAGTACCTGTGGTTGAATGTTGAGATGTGTACATATCCCAACAGCTGTACCAAGCACACATTTTTCCTTACTCATCAGAAGTCATTCACTTACAATGCAAGAGAATTTCATCACTAATGTTTCTTGAATGTTTTAGTAAAAAGGATACTTGTGGTCGAAGCTGTACCACAGCCTGAATATCCATGCACTCTCTTGCTTTGTTCGGTTCCCTCTGGCATTATCTGGGCCGTCCTAGGAACAAACAAGAGGACAAAGGCTTAGTTGCAGAAAAGGGACCTGGAAGCATGGGGGAAGAATTCATTTTTAATCGTAATTTCTACATATCCCATATCTACAAAGTTTCAAAGATACATTGGCAGAGAATATTTTAGTAGAAATTGATTCAATTCAAAAGGTAGACTAATCAGTGTTAGAAGGTTTGATCATACATGGACATAAAGTAGGACCTACCTGGTGGTGCAGCGGGTTAAGTGTTGGGCTGCTAACCACAAGGTTGCCGATTCAAACCCACCAACCACTCCATAGAGTAAGATGAAGCTGCTTGCTCCTGTAAAGGTTTACAGTCTCAGAAATCCCATAGAGCAGTTCTACTCTATCCTATAGGGTGGCTATGAGTCAGAATCTATTCGACGGCAGTGGCTTTGAATCTTTGATTTAATGGACTTTTATGTTGCTGCATGACAAATTCTGAAAGTACAGACTGCTTATGAGGCACAAGCTTTTTAATAGTCATAATCTTTAATATTATCGTTGTTGTTAAGCACTGTTGAGTCGGTTCAGACCCATAGTGACCCTGTATAAAGTTTCCGATGAGCGGCTAGTGAGCTTGAACTGTGGACCTTGCAGTTCAAACCAAATTTGCAGTCCAGCGCATTAACCCACAGCACCACACCAAAACTCCAGTATGGAGGAAGTAACTCTATAGGCAAGGGACAATGACAATAACCAAATAAAAGTCGAGCCAAAATTACACGAAGTTCTAAATTATTTCCAGAAATTGAGCGCCCCTGGTATTTAATGAATGTTTAGTCACAGATATGGAAATGGCTTTGTTAAATGGGCCCTGCTGTGGATGGAGAAATATAAACAAGGAGCGACCCTAGAGATTAACTTTATTTTATACTTTTATAAGCCATATGGAAGGAGCTCTGGTAGCATAGTGATTACGAATCGGGCTGCTAATCTCACGGTCAGTAGTTCGAAACTACCAGCTCTTCCATGGGAGAAAGATGAGGCTTTCTGCTTCCGTAAAGATTTACAGCCTCAGAAACCCTGTACAGGGTCACTATGAGTGGGAACCGACTCCACGGCACATAACCACAACAACAAGCCATATGGAAGAAGGAAGACATAGGAAAGTCTCCATTTGCAGAAAACAAATCATTCCTTTGGGAAGATATCAAACTATCTCAAGACAGGGCAGAAAAGTAGTAGATGGCCTTTTTGACAGGTAACCATCCTTACAAAAAAAGTAGTGTCTTTTAGAAAGGAATAGGCCCTAAGCTCTTAGTTCTAACTGCCTGTAGAATCTAACTAAAGAAAAACTGAAAAAAATTATAATCATCCAGAAAGATAAAATAAGCCATCAAACACAAAGCCTGTATCCCAGTCAGTCTTACCTGCCACTCTCTTGAAACAACAAGAGAACAACAAACTCTTACTATGTCATGCAAAGCCACAAAGAATTATTTAAAACCTGGAATACTTCAATTCTTGCTATCTCACTTCATGGAATTTGCAGGAGACTTATTTATATAAGTCTCAAAAGGGACAACTAAAGTAATTAAAGCAAAGGAAGGACTTCCATTTGAAAGCAGATTAATAAAAGGTCTTCTCAGGCTACAAAGAGATAGGCCTAGAGTCCACAAAATTAGAGCAAGTGACCTCAGATTCTACAGCAAATCCTGAAATGAAAGAAATTAAGACACAACCTTAAAGGTTACAAGGGGTAAGTTTAAGACAAATAAAAGTCCAACTTTATAAAAGAGGCGTTAAACAACTTACTCCAAGAAATGGTACCAGAAGCATGCATAGGTACAGGAAGAAGTTACATGCATGGAGGTTTTAGGGAAATCAGGAAGGTTCTATGAGGAATCAGGAAGGTTCTACAAACAAGGCAAGTCAGTAGAGCCCTTCTTATGGGTTCAGCACAGCACAGCACTGAATAGGGATTAACATGGGTATAGGAGGCTCCTCCAATAAATACCAGCTGCTCCTCGTATAGGTCAGAATCGACTCGATGACACTTAACAACGACAATAATAAATACTGGGGAGCGTGGTGGCTCCATACGTAAGCGCGGGACTATGAACCATAAAGTCCACAGTTTGAGCCTGCCAGACGTTCCTCAAGAGAAAGATGGGGTTTTCTGCTCCCTCATAGATTTAAAGCCTTGGAAACCCTATACAGAGTTGCTATGAGTTGGAACCAACTCCACAGCATTTTACAACAACAACAGATACTACAGCCTCTATTCCCAGACTGTACTTGGAGAATTAATATTTTCATTTATGTGTTCCCCACAGAAAAAAAAAAGGAGCTTTAGACATAGCCTGAGCTAAAAACATGAGCTGTGAAACCTGGTGGGATGCCAGCTTCTGAGGAGGGGCATGGTGAGAAAACAAGTCTCCACTTTTTTTTTTTTTTCCTGTGGGGAACTCTGGTAGCGTAGTGGTTACAAATTGGGCTGCGAACCTTAAGGTCAGCGGTTCGAAACTACCAGCTGCTCCGCGGGAGAAAGATGAGGCTTTCTACTCCCGTAAAGATTTACACCCTTGGAAACCCTATACAGGGTCGCTATGGGTCGGAACCGACTCGATGGCACTTAACAACAACACAATGTCTAAAGCAGAGGTGGGAAACATCCGGTCCACGGTTCATATAAGGCTTTCAAAATCATTTGGTCTGGCTCTGTCAAGGTAACTACAGTTCCAGCCATCACATTTGTTGTTGTTGTTAGCTGCCATCAAATTGGTACCAACTCATAGCGACCCTATGCACAACAGAACGAAACACTGCCTAGTCCTGCACCAACCTCACAGTCTTTGCTAAGCCCAAGGCCACTGCTTAGCAAATGCCACTGTGCCAATCCATCGTGTTGGGTGTCTTCCTCTTTTTCTCTGATCACCCATATTACCTACCAAACATGATATTCTTTGGACTGGTCCCTCCTAGCATTCTGGCTGTACTTTTTCCAACAAATTGGTTTGTTCTTTTGTTAGTTCATGGTTTCATGGTACTGTTTTGTTCCCCCCTTTTAGTATGGGTATCTTTTCTTAAGCTTTTACAATAATGGTCTTATGCAATATTTGTCATTTTGTGACTGACTAATTTCACTCAGCATAATGTCTTCAAGGCTCATCCATGTTATGTAGTGGCTTGCGGCTTCTTTGTTATTCTTCAAGGTAGCATAATATTCCATTGTGTGTATGTACCAAACTTTGTTTAACCATTCTTCCATAGATGGGCACTTAGGCTGTCTCCATCTTTTTACTATTGTGAATAGTGCTGCTATGAACATGGTGTGCATATAACTACTCGTGTTATGGCTCGTATTTCTTGTGGATATATAGCAAGTAGAAGAATTACTGGATCATGTGGTATTTCTATTTCCAACTTTGAGGAAGTGCCATACTGTTTTCCAGAGTGGCTGGACCATTTTGCAGTCCCACCAGCAATATAGGAGAGTCCCATTCTCTCCACATCCTCACCAGCATTTATTATCCTTTGCATTTTTGAACTTTGTTGTTATTTCTCGTGTGTGATGATATCTCATTGTTGTTTTGATTTGCATCTCTCTAATGGCTAATGATTGTGAGCATGACTTCATATGTTTGTTGGCTACCCAAATGTCTTCTTTGGTGAAATGTCTGTTCATGTCCCGTGCCCATTTTTCAATTGGGTTACTTGTCTTTTTCTTGTAGAGGTGTTGTAGTTTCCTATAGATTTTAGAAATTAGTCCCTTGCCTGATATGTCATTGCAAAAGTTTTTTTCCCATTCTGTGGGCTCCCTTTTTACTCTTTTGGTGAAGTCTTTTGATGCACATAAGTTTCTAAGTTTTAGAACGTCCCAATCATCTATTTTGTCTTCTTTTGTTTGCCTAATTTTCACAATGTTTTGTAGTCTATGTGTGCCCTAGATTAAAGCCCTTAAATTTGTCTCTATTTTTTCATTGATGACCTTTATAATTTGGGATTCACATTTAGGTCTTTAATCCATGCTCAGTTGGTCTTTGTATACGGCTTGGGGTAAGGTCTTGTTTCAATCTTTTGCATATAACTTTCCAGTTCTGCCAGCACCATCTGTTAAAGAGACTGTTGTCTTCCCCACTCAATGTACTTTGGCCCTATGTCAAAGATAAGTTGGCTATATGTGGATGGGTTAATTTCTGGAGTCTCAATTCTGTTCCATTGATCAATATATCTTTCATTGTACCAGGCTGTTTTGACCACTGTAGCCATGTAGTAAATTTTGAAATCAAGGAGTGAGAGGCGACCAACTTTGTTCTTCTTAAGTAGTGCTTTGCTTATCCTGGGTCTCTTTCCTTTCCATATAAGGTTTGTAACTGTTTTTTCCATCTCTTTGAAGAATGTCATTGGAATCTGGATTGGGATTGCATTATATGTGTAAACTGCTTTTGGGCAGTATTGACATTTTCACAATGTTAAGTCTTCCTATCCAGGAGCATGGTATATTCTTCCATTTTTGTAGGTCTCCTTTGGTTTCTTGTAGTAGTGGTTTTATAGTTTTCTATGTATAGGTCCTTTGTTTCTCTGGTTACATTTATTCCTAAATATTTCATCTTTTAGGTGGCTATTGTAAATGGTATTGCTTTCCTAATTTTCTGTCCAGTGTTGTCATTATTAGTATAGAGGAATCCAACTGATTTTGTATGTTGATCTTGTACCCTGCCACTTTGCTAAATCTTCCAATGAGATCTAGTAGCTTTTTTACTGAGTCTTTGGGGTTTTCTATGTATAGGATCATATTATCTGCAAACAAAGAGAGTTTTACTTCCTCTTAGCCAATCTGGATGCCTTTAATTTCCCTATCTTGCCTTATTTCTCTGGCTAAGACTTCCAAAACAATATTGAATAGGAGTGGTGATAAAGGTCATCCTTGTGTGATAACTGTTCACAAGGGGAAGGCTTTCTGTTTCTCTCCATTAAGAGTGATGTTAGCTGTTGGTTTTATATATATGCTCCTAATTATGTTGAAGAATTTCCCTTCGATTCCTACTTTGTTGAGTGTTTTTATCAGGGATGGATGTTGGATTTTGTCAAATGCCTTTTCTGCATCAATCGATATGATCATGTGGTTCTTTTCCTTTTTCTTATTTATATGGTTGCTTTCCTGACGTTGAACTATCTTTGCATCCCTGATATGAATCCCACTTGGTCATGATGCATTATATTTGTGATGTGTTGTTAAATTCTGTTGGCTAGGATTTTGTTGAGAATTTTTGGGGATACTGATCTATAATTTTCCTTCTTGGTGTTGTCCTTCCCTGGTTTTGGTATGAGGATTATGCTTGCTTCACAGAATGTATTAGGGAGTTTTCCATCCTCAGTCCATGGTACTTTTAATATTCTCCTTCAACACCATAAATCAAATGCATCAATTCTTCTACGGTCTTCCTTATTCACTGTTCAGCTTTCACATGCATGTGAGGTTATTACAAATACCATGGCTTTGGTCAGGTGAACCTTAGTCCTTAAACTGACATCTTTGCTCTTTAACACTCTAAAGAAGTTGTGTGCAGCAGAGTTGCCTAATGAAAAACGTTGTTTGATTTCCTGACTGCTGTTTCCATGAGTGTTGATGGCTGATTTGGGAAAACTGAAATCTTTGACAACTTCAATCTTTTCTCCATTTTTATTGGTCCAGTGGTGAGGATTTACCTTTTCTTTACATACTGAAGGCTGTGGTCTTTGATCTTCATCAGTATGTATTTTCAGTTGTCTTCACTTTCAGCAAATAATGTTGTATCATCTGCATAACTCATGTTGTTAATGAGTCTTCCTCCAATCCTGATGCCATGTTTTTCTTTATATAATCCTTCAAGACTGTGCACAACACTGGCTTCTCTGACAAACGTTTCAAAAGCAACAGAGCACTCTAAGAGTAGCTAATACAACATGATTTATCAACACACTAAAAGAAACCAGTTGCTATAAGTCAACTTGGACCTATGGTAACAGAGTAGAACCCATGTATGAGAGTAGAACTGTGCTCCATAAGGGTTTGTTTCAATGGCAGATTTTTTGGAAGTGGATTACCAGATCTTTCTTCTGAGGTGCCCGTGAATGGAATTTCAGCTGGCAGTTGAGTGTGTTAACGGTTTGCCCTACCCAAGGACTCCATACTTGGGAGTACCAAGCAAAAAAATCTATACCCGATGGGAGAGGAAACAAGGCTCTCCACCATTACCCTTCTCACACTTTTACCAAGGCCTTAGGAATGGAGTTCAGCTATCTGGTCTGCAGATGTATTACCAGAGTATCATATGATATCTGAAATATAACCGGTGCTCAATAGATACCTGTCAAATGAGTGGATAAATTCATGCTACTTTTGAGCTTCTAGAAGAAGAGGAAAGAGGAGAGTATGAAATCAGGGGCCCACATACACAATTGGATGATAAAAAAACAACAACAGTGGGTAGAAGCTAGAGAAAAGGCAACTCAGCAACAGTTTGTAGTTAAAAATTTAAGCAACTGGGCATCAGATTTCAGCCTGCAGGAAAACTGGGAGAAGCCAGAAACACTTGTAAATCTAACTAGTCTAAAAAGTCATATGTCAACGGAACTATCAACAATAGATTTTCTACAGTTTTCAATGTGTGTGCGTGCACACACACAGCGGTTTCCTTTCCTCCACATTCCATTAATATCCGGCTTGTGACCTTGTCCTAAGTTAAAAACATGGAGCTTTGCCTGATGATATGATAAAAGCCTGGACAAATTCAGATCCGTGCTTTCTTAGCTGCTCCAAAGGTGGCCTCATCAATGAGTGTACTTCAGTAAACTTTGGGAAGGAAATGAATGTGTCTGCATATCCGGCCAACATAAATCTCAGCTGTGTCTGGCTTGAAAAGTCCCCACACTCCCTCACCCCACCCCCGCCCTTAATGAGGTGGGAGGCCACCCCTAGGGCAGGGCAGCTTGGTTCCAGCTGGGCTTGTTTTTGTTTTAGTTGCAAAGTCACCAAGACCTCCGTAGAAACAAAGCAATTGAGTTTTTTGTTTTGTTTAAATGAGTCAAACTTGCCAGGGACATGAAGCTGAAGTCTGCCCACAATGTTCTTATGCTTTCCTCCTATAAAGCCAAAACTTCCAGCCAACATCTCCATTTCTTCTCCCAAATGAGCTAATATTCTGTAACTCTGTAGCCCTGACTATGTTTATAACCTGGGGCTTCTAGAACCAGTGAGGAAAACTGTGCTCATTATAAGAAATACTTTTCCTTTAAATATTAAATGTGTTTGGTTGTTTTTAAGATAATTTCAAAAATGAGGTAAAGAGATTTGCCCTTTCTTTTTCTAATTGGAAATAAATATGTGGACTCTCCCCACCTCTGATTTCAGTTTCACGACAACACTGAGCATGTGACCTGGATCTGATCCAGGGGAAACTGCAAGAAACCGGGGTTTCACCCAAAAATTAGAAGTCCATTTATTTCTGTTTCATTGTTTCTCATGACTCCCAGCCCTGCTGTTAGTGGCTCACTGGAATGAGAAGCTTCAGGGGAAAATAATTTAGAGAAATAAAGCCCTTTCTGCAGAGGGTGTCCTGAGGAACCAAGCCTGAAGTTCTTTTTTGCCCCCAGTATGAGCAATCTTGAAAGAATCAAAAATGTCTGCTGAATTGACGACTTTGAGGGCCTTTCTGCACCGCTGTGCTTGAGGTTTGGAAGGAAGGAGGTTAAGAGAAAACTGTTTATCTAAATTAGCTTCCACCCACCACCTGATGATGCCTGGCAAACGGGGCACCATCAGGAGGGTAGTAGAAGTCACTGCCAGCCCCATACACAGTGCCAAGTGGGCACAGAGCTCTCTGCTCCGAGGGTCCTGCATAAGCTATCGGCAATACTGAGTTTACTACTCCAGGTCCATCCAGGGCAGTTTCTGAGGGATGGGCCCTATTTGAGTTATCATTACATGGACGAAATGCCAGAGTTCTTAGCATTTGGGACCCATGGCTTTCCCAGACATTTCCATGAAAAAAATGACAGCAAATTTTTTCTGATACTAATGACAAGCCCAGTGTTTCCAGTGTGTCACTCAGTTTGTGTTACTTTGTTACAGGAACCCCAGGAAACAAATACAAATGCCTTATCAGGCTGTGATCACTCTCAAGGAAAAGGACATCCGAAAAAGCTATAGCAGCACCCCCTAGGCCCCACACAGCTGGCTCCACATTTTGGGAGACGTGTTAAATCCAATTTTGTCGATGGATTCATTTAGAAGATCCTATGGAATATGAAACATGAAAACTGGATGTAGGGTTAAGTGCAACATTAAGTGTTATTCAAAGCTGACAGGACAAAAACGAAACACTCTATATGGTTTCATGGACAAGGCACATACATGGTTAGTAAAAACACCTGCTTTACTGTTTCACCTCTCACTCCCCTATCTATTGGCCAAATACCTATTGATTTCCCCCCATGTGCCAGGCACTGTGCTTGACACTATGAAGCAAAAGCTGTGCTTAACACTGTGAAGTCAAAACTGTTCTGGACCCTCAAGGTCAAAGGGATAACCTTTTGGCATCACATTTTTGCTCCCATCATAACACTTCTTTTCCCATCTTGTCTGCCAGTCTGGTGAAGGAACAAAAGCTGGAGACAAACCATGCCTACAAAGTCTTTGTCACTAGCTTTATTTTAGTAACTTGTTGATAACCAATAGAGTGTCATAGAAGTGATGCTGTAGAATGCCAAGACTAGATCAGTAACAGCTGTGTAACTTCCACCTTGCTTGTTCCAGCCACCCTGACACCACCATGCTGTGAGGAAGCTCAGGTCAAATGGAGAAGCCATATGTAGACATTCCAGCCAGAAATCTTAGTCTTTGAGTCCTCTAAAACCAGGCCTCAGACACTTGAGTGAACAAGCCTTCAGCTGATTCAAGCCTCCAGCCAGCCATTGAGTCACCCCCCTGCCTTCGAGTTTTTCCCCGCTGAGGCCATGGACTGTGTGAAGCTAAGGCAAGCTGTCCATACTATGTCATGGAACATGGAAAGCTGTCCCTACTATGTCCTTTCCAAATTCCTGACTCAGAGAATCCATGAGCATAATGGGGCAGTTTGTTATGCAGCCATAGTAACTAGAGCAGATGACAACACCAAGGGCTAACACCACCCTCCTCTGCCGAACATGGGCTCCATCCCGATTCTCTCTGCAGCCTCCTGTACTAGCAGGGGCCTCGGCAAGCCCCTCCTGGATGCTGTTACAAGACTGTGCCACTCATTGTTTCTACAGTCAACTGTCCCAGCACTCCACTCCAGGCCCACTCTGCTGCCACCACCCTGCTCAAGCCTTAATTGTTAATAATGCTATGACCTTTAAGGGGTGGGTGGGGACTGCTAGTCTGCCACTACTGAGCTGAAAGGGAACTCAGAGAGCTGTAGAGGACCTTAGATCCTGGAGGAATAGGAGACCTGTATCTATCCTCTCTTCCTCAGATTCCCGGGCTGGAAAGTCAAATCAGAACTCTCTCCTTCCTCGGTGTAGGCACCACTGACAGACTCAGAACCAGCTACAGTGAGCAAATCCCCAATATATTAATTCTGCAAAGGTAGGGAATTGGGACCTTTACTTAAACACTCTTTGAGCTCAGCCCATCCCTTAATTATGTTATTTAAGAACATAGATACTGGAGTCAAATCCTGGGTCTATCGCTTTCTAATTCTCTGACCTTAGGTAACTAACTTGAACTCTCAAACTTCAACTTCTAATAACCTGAAATGGGGATAGCCAGTACCTGCTTGTCCAGATCACAAGGAATGAACCCACATAAATAGCCTGCCATGTGATAGGCATTCAATACATTTCATAGCTACTCTTAATAATATCTTCCCTGTTTGTGACTTACCCCTTGTAAGACTTGAAAGCTGTCATTGTTGGGTGGTGGGTCTTGATCTGGGTCAACTCCAACTCTGTAAATCACCAGGGAAAAACACAAGGAGAAGAACAGAAAAGTATTCATTTAGATTAGGGCAGCCAGGTTGCCTGAATGTAACCAAGATGCTGACCATCTTCCCAAAGCAGAAGGAGTGGTTAGCTGAAAGCAGAGGAAGGCCACCATGCAACAGTCATGAGAGAGAGGGCCCATACCACACCAGGACCCAGAGGGGAGGAAGGACACTATCCTGGATGCTTATACCCTACGTAAGACTTCTAAAAAATCAGTATATGCTGACAGTGTCCACCATCCTTCTTACACCAGATGGCCCCAGTTAACACGGTAAGAGTCCCACTGTACTGGACCTTTTCCTGAATGCTGCTTAACTTCCTCTCTGACCTGCTTTTATTTCCCTACCATTTGAATATAAAAATTTTCACATATACAGGGGACATTCGAAAGAATTTATAGAGAACATTTGCACATCCATCACCTACATTCTACCATCAACATTTTACTGTATTTCCTTTATTACATTATCTACCCATTTCTCTGCTGGAGTCCGGGTGTGGTGCTGTAGGGTAATCACTAGACTGCAAGGTCGGTTTGAACCACAAGGTCGGTGGTTCGAACTCAGCAGCTGCTCCTTGGAAACCCTATTGTTGTTGCTGTTGTTAAGTGCCATTGATTCAGTTCTGACTTATAGCGATCCTGTATAGTGTTTCCAAGGAGTGGCTGGTGAGTCTGAACCACCGACCTTGTGGTTCAAACCAATTGCAGGCCAGCACATTAGCCTGCAACGCCACACCAGGAATCCTTCACAAGGCCTCTATGAGTTGGAACTGACTTGACAGCACTTAACAACTACCCATTTCTCTATCCGTTCCCTTATTTTTTGGATGCATTTCAAATCACATTGCAGATATCAATCCACATCCCCTAAACACTTCAGCAAGCATATCATTAACTAGAGTTTTGACCTACTTTTAATCCTGGTGTTCCCACATCCTCCTGCAGCCAAGAGGACCTGAGAATCCACACACTTGAGATCAACTACTGAGGACTCAAAAGAAAAAGCAAAGTGGCAAAATCATTTATAACAAATTCCAGAAAAGCACTAGGGTAGTTCTCTTGGCCTAGCAACATACCACTTACTGCACTTTATCCCTCTAGTGTGCTCATTTGATAAAGACAATGGGGAGAAAACAAAGGTGCTGGACGATTTCTACATCTTTTCTTACTCCTACTGCAGCAAAATTATCGCTTTCAGCAGGCTAGGTCTGATTTGAGCTTGAAGAAAGGTACAGAGTGGGTTTTAACAGGGATGTTATTAAAAGTCCCGTCCTGTGAACCATAGATGCACAAAGCCCCAGACGTTTCCACCTTTCTCTCCTCCTTTTCCACATGTGATGTCCAGTATCTATTTTGGCAAAAGAGACTAAAAGAAAACGGGGACAGAAGGCAACACAGATGTACCAACCCTCTTAAAGCCATTCTCTACTCTCTCTTGTCCTCACAACTGGACATGATCCAGGGGCCTCTGAGCACCACATCTCAGAGATTTGCTGACCTGAAAACCATCCAATTCAAGGGGTCCAGGGGCTGCACACACAAGTCACACCAGAACCCCAGTGCCTAATGTATAGAAGTGGTAAAGGAAAGATTGAGTATGGAATTCCTAGCTGTTGATCTTTAACTCCCACCTTTTTTGATCTCTTAATGTAGTGTATATGCAGAAAAATTCTTTATATGGTGTTTTTGTCAGTATTTGTAAGATCAACAGCAGGAATCCAAGAATAGGACTTGTTCTTTGGATTCTATAGGAACACAAAGCCACTCCATCCCAAACTCACTTACTCCAATTAATTCTGTCACCCTGGGCAGGCTTAGAGGACAAGGTGCTGGTTGCTACAGCATCTCTCAGATGGCCTACCAGAACATCATGGTCCAGCAGCCCTCAGGTTAACCATAGAGTGGCTATTGTGGGGCAGCAGCAACTAGACTATGTGGATACAAGTGTTGTATGGCCAAGAGTATGATAGCGCCCACCTGCCACTAATAATCTCTCCTTTGTGCATTGGGTATTTTGAATACAATAAAAATGAATTGACTTTATCTGCCCAGGAAAAAAGCCTGTGGGCAGAGGAAATCGGTTTAAGTATACCTTGCACTACAATGAAGAAAAGAAAATCAAGTAGAGTAAAAGCTGTCCGATGAAATTTAGCTCCCTCCTAGTGTGATGCTATAGGATCAGTACTGGACTGCGAACCACAAGGTCAACAGTTCAAACCCACCAGCTGCTCCTTGGAAACCCTATACAGGGTTGCTATGAGTTGGAACCAACTCGACGGCACTTAGCAACAACAAAAACAATTCTTTTAAAATGGCATGGCACTTTAGGATACAGCACTGGACTGCAAGGTTGGTTTGAACCAGAAGGTCAGCGGTTCAAACTCACCAGCCGCTCCTTGGAGACCTTATACAGGGTTGCTATGAGTTGGAACCAACTTCCTGGCAATTAACCAACAACATTCTTAAAACCAGAGAGTCCTGGTATGGGGCTGTAGGATAAGCACTTGACTGCTAACCACAAAATCAGCAGTTCAAACCTACCGGCCACTCCTCGGAAGTCCTCTATGGGGTCGCTATGAGTCAGAACGGACTCAACGGCAGATAACAACAGCATTCTTTAACTAATCTCTGCATGTTGTTAAGTACCACTGAGTCGGATGCAATTCAAAGCAATCCTGTAGAGGGGTTTCCGAGGAGAGGCTGGTGAGTTTGAACTGCCAACCTTGCAGTTCAAAACCAACCTTGCAGTCCAGAGCATTCACTTTGCTAGGAGAGAAAAATGTCTGCTTAACAAGAAGTGCTTATAAAAACTAAGTTTTGACTCTTTTCTTTCAAGTCTTGCAAATGTTAGTGGAACATTTCATTTCTGAGTGCAATCATTTTTGGCAAAAATACTCTATAAGTGATGTTATGTCTGTCTTATCAGGACATTCATGAAAACCAGAGCTCTGATCCCGGGCCCATGTGATCAGGCTAGAATTCAAAATAACCAAATACAAAACATTGCAATAACTTGACAAACTCACTAAATTAGTTGCTAACTGCCATTGAATCAGTTCTGACTCACAGCAACCCTGTACAGGGTTTGAGGAACAGTGATGGTTTTGAACTATTGACCTTTCGGTTAGCAGCCCAGTGCTTATCCTACAGGCTTACTCATTGGTAAGTACCGTGGACTCAGTTCCGACTCATAGCAACCCTGCACAGGGTTTCCGAGGCTGTAAATCTTTATGGGAGCAGAACGCCTCATCTTTTTCCTGCGGAAGCGCTGGTATTTTCAAACTGCTGACCTTGAGGTTGGCAGCCCGACTCTTAACCACAACGCTACCAGAGCACTCTAACCCTATCCCATGTTTGTCATTTGTTCTGGAGGAACCTGAGAGTGATTCTATATGAGCACTGTCCTGTAGAATTTTCTGTGATGTCCAGTGATCACTTTAACCACATGTGATGACCGGAATACTTGAAATGGGGCTATTATACCCGAGGAACTGAATTTTCAATTTTATTTCATTTCCATTAATAAAATTTCAATTTCAATAGTCACATGCGGCTACCAAATTGAGACGCTCATACACAGTACAGATTACAGAATCTGTTCAATTTTTGCCCTTTTAATAACATTCAAAATTCCTGTTGGGATCCTGCAGAGGTACAAGCAGTCACATGAATTTTAAGTAAAATGTTGCTTGAAACAATTCAACACTGAAGAGATGCCTTGCTTCATTAATATACAAGAGACATTTTTCAAATCCTCTGAAAGGTCTGTATAGATGAAATGTCATCTTATAAATGTGGAAGTAATGACAGAATTAGAAAATTACCATGGACAAATCCCCAGGCTAATAATTGTTTTGGGCAAGGATCATTAGTGGATGATTTCAACAGTGGGTTGGGACTGGCTATTCACATGGTGTCAAAGGATCACTTAACAGATTACTTTTTAATCACAAAGGGGAAAAAGTGGAGAGACCTGGAGGGGACCACCTGAACCAAACCACCAAAGTTAACATCACTAATCAAGAAACAGCCTGACAATATGCGTCTCCTGATAAGACAGACATAATATCACTTACGGAGTGTTTTTGCCAAAAATGATTGCACTCAGCTGCTAACTGAAAGGTTGGTTGTTAAAACCCACTAGTCACTCTGCAGAAGAAAGATGTGACAGTCTGTTATAGGGTCCTGTGGTGGTTGTTGTTAAGCGTCGTCGAGTTGGTTCTGACTCATAGTGACTCTGGTATAGAGTTTTCGAGGAGTGGCTGGTAGGTTTGAACCACCAACCAACCTTGCAGTTAGTAGTCCAGTGAACCTATAGAACCATACCAGGACTCTGCTATAGGATCCTATAGGGTCACTATGACTCTGAATTGACTCGACGGTGACAAATTTATCTCTAGTCATACATAAAACTAACCAGGAAAATCTGGATTATGGGACATTCTATAAACAACTAGCCAGAATACGTAAACAACAACAATAAAAAAAACACACACACAAAACAAAATCAAGGTGATTGTTACAGATTAAAAGAGACTCAAAGGGCATAAACAGCAAAGTAAACTTTGATTGGATTTTGGATCTAGAGTATGTGTGCATATAAAATTCATGTTAATTATCTTAGACGTAGTAATAATATTGTGATTATGTAAGGGAGTGAAGTACTAGGACACAAACTGAAGTACTTGGGGATGCACAGTCATGTTAGCTGCAGTAGAGTTTGAAATAGTTCAGAGAGAAAGACTGAGAATACAAAAACAATTTTTTAAAGAGACATAATGTTAGCAACTGGTGAACAAAAGTATCCATCGTCTTTCCATTTTTTAATTTAAAACTTTTCATAATTAAAAATATCTAATTATAGCCTTGGTGAAAATAGTTCTAAAACATATCAGTTGATTTCTTTGTCTCTGTAATTTAATCTAATACTAATAATTCAGGATCACGTATTATTTCAGGGTCTGAAATCCACAATTGTAACAATCCATGGGCAAAGCTTGCCATAAGACAGTGAATGAAACCGAACTGATTCTAGTAGCCATGTGGCTTTCTCTTCTATGTAAATCCTAGAATATTTTGTTGAGATTCTCTTTCTCCTTAACAGTGAAGGACAAGGGGGAAAATGCTAGTTAATTAACACAAATGGTTACTCAAATTCCAACCCATGACGGCTTCTTCAGATCTGGTTATGGAATCTGTAGTTCTGAAGAAAGTGTTTCCTTTCTGTGTTTCGACTCTCCTCTTCTGCTGTAGAAATTCAGACACTTGCTAAACAGTAGCCCAAACTCCTGACAGGAATGAGTCCAAAAGGGCCTCCTGGGCCCTCTCACAGAACAGGAGAACATGGATGGGCCCTGTGGGGCCTCTTGGAGCTTCCATGCTACTGCTCTGAGTGCTGAGGAGGAGATTCCCTGAGAAAGGAAGCAAAGATCCGTTTCCTAGCTTGCTCCAACTTTTTAAGTGTCAAGAGAAAAACAGACCAGTGGCTGAACGATACATTCTGTGACTACATTCTCTGTTCAAGGCTGTTTACTTAAACCTACTGCTATCAAATCAATTCTGGCTCATAGAGATCCTGTAGGATGGAGCAGAACTGCTCCATTGTGTTTCTGAGGCTATAAATCTTTACAGAAGCAGGCTGCTTTGTCCCGTATGGTAGCTGGTGGGTTCCAACTGCTGACCTTGCGGTTAGCAGTCCAATATTCAATTCACTGCCTGCCAAGCAGCTCTGTGGGAGAAAAATCTGGTAATCTGCTCACATAAAGATCACAGCCTAGAAAATGCTATTCTATTCTATAGGGTTGCTATGAGTCAAAATCAACTCAATGATACCTAACAAGAACGATTACTTTACTGGCAGGATTGAGGGCCTCTTGAACCACTTCTCAAAGATGTCACTGTGGCGCTCAACAAATAGTCCCACCTTGAAAGCAGAGCCCAGAAACCAAACTGGTCTCTGTGAACAAGATAGAAAGTAACAGACCAGGGGGCTGTGCTGGGCACAGTGGTTTAATTATAATACCTCAGGAAATTTGGGGAGAGGGGTCCCTAACTTTCTGAAATTCCTAATTTCAGACAAACTTTCCACGGTAAATATTTCTTCCTGATTTTCTTTTCTTTCTTTCTTTTTTTGACCCTGCACGCTATGTAAACCTGGAACTTTTCATACTGTTCTTGTTGTTGTTGTTGTTGTTAAGTGCCGTCGAGTCGGTTCCGACCCATAGCGACCCTGTACAGGGTTTCCGAGGGTGTAAATCCTTACGGGAGTAGAAAGCCTCATCTTTCTCCTGCGGAGCGGCTGGTAGTTTCGAACCGCTGACCTTAAGGTTCGCAGCCCGATTCGTAACCACTACGCTACCAGAGCTCCTTTTATACTGTTCTAGTGTATCATAATTTAGCATTTCATTGGTACACCAGGGTTGAGGTAATCAGCGCATGCATGACAGTCTTCCAGAATGAACTAAATTATCCTTATTTTAATTAGGAAAGAGACAAATGTGGGAATCCCATACTGAGAAAATCAACCAACAGATGTGCTCATCCTGGAATGACTAAAGTTAATTTTTAGAAATGCACATTCTGATGACTAGCCATATAAAATGACATACAATCTCAGAAATGTGTGTTTTGTTTTAATCAATATATTTTTATTTGAATAATCAGAATCCTGAGTAACTTTCAGAATACGAGGCAGAAACCTTCACGCTAAACCTTGAACACCAGATCATAATCTGAACTCTCTCATGTCACAAGTAGAACTTACTTTACTTAAAGGACCTTGCTTCTTGAAGGTGGGCACTTCAAAGGAAAGAGTTTCCCCTGCAAATTGCCTGATACCTGAAGTCAAGTCTCTAAAAATGCATGTGTCTGTTTTAAACTGTGGTACCGTGGGTTAATGTGCTGGACTACAAAGTCGGTTTAAATCACAAGGTTGGCGGTTCAAGCTCACCAGTTGCTCCTTGGAAACCCTATACAGGGCTGCTATGGGTTGGAATCAACTTGACGAAACTTAACAACAAAAATTTGTGTAAGCCTAGGGAATGCAAATGCTTCCATTCATTTCATGTGAGTCAGTACTACGTCCATCTGGGGCCTGGTGGCTTCTTGAGATCCAAATTCCATTGCAAGTATCACTCACTACTTTGACCGTGGCTCTCATGCAGTGAAATACTTCAGCAATACCAAGAACAGAGTTCAAGCTTATCTTGCATTTGATTTATCTACCCACAATGAAAATATGATCAGGAAGAAAGCTTGTTGACTATAAGGACAGAAAGAAAAGAGACATTCAAGGTTTTACTCTGGCTGCCCCATTACCATTCTTAAGCAAAATCGTATCATCATGAAGCTGGGTGGACAATGAAAGAAAGACAAATTGCAGTAGAGATTTTTTTTAAATCAATCTGGTTTTTTTGTTTTGTTTTCTGCTGATTCACTTTGATAAGAGACACGCACACAAATGCATAATTCAAAACAAAACAAAACAAAACACACTAAAGCAGCACTGATGCCTAATTAAAATGATGTAAGCCATAACCAAGTCATGGCTGAAATGTGCAATTCTAGTTCTCTTTTGAGTTAAAAGCCTTATTTACTAGGTTCATAAGCAGGATGTTGTGGAAGTATATGCCTCTGGAAATGGGCAGTCTTAACATCAAGTTCAGTTTTACCATAAAAAAAAAAAAAAAAGACTTGTCAACTCATTGTCCAAATGAAGGGAAAAGGCGTAGAATCCCAGGAATACTGACACATCAATTAAACTAGAGAAAAGATGGGGAAATGATTCGAATTGACCTAATGTCTTGCCCCTTTGTTAAAAGGTGTGTACCTGGAGGAACAGGGGAAAGGGTAGGTGCATGAAGGAAGGAAGAAAGAGACAAACAGCAAAAAGAGAAATGTCTCAGGTTAGAAAGAGGAGAAAAGCCAGGCCCAGTTCCTTCTTTTCTGAGGCTGCCCAGTGTCACCTGAAGTACTGCCAGCGATGCTCATCTTGATCCTCTTCAGATGGCTCCTCCACGGCAACTCTGGGCAGCACAAGAAGGTAATGTGAGTGTACCAGGGACACCAGGGGATCCAGGAGTTCTGGGGACATGACCTGGACCACGTCCATCCAAGAATAGGCCATCTCACTTTAAATAGATATCCACACCTTCTCGTAAACTGTCCCCCATTCTCTAAACCCAGAGAAGCAAAGAAGCTACTGAATATAAATCTAAAGCAACAATTTTAAGAACTAAGATAAATGAAGATCTGAAGCCAATTAGAAATGAAGATACACATCTCAGAATATAATGTAATTAAACCATATGAATCAATAAATGTAACTCGTTAAAAATAAGAATTTATAGAAAATTTCAAGATTTTCTCTATTTCATAAGCAAGATACATTCACATTTTTTTAAGTTAATATTTGAAGTGACTTTACACAAAGAGCAAGAGGTACTGTATTACTGAAAATAACCATGATAATTGTAAAGAAGATGGGATTTTTTCTAGACAAATAAACATGCACAGGTTCAACCTGAAGGTCAAGAGCCCAACTTCTGCTATTCTCTTTACCTTGTGGCATTAGGGGTTGATATAGTCCATTTCACCTTCCTTAAAAATTGCTGGGTTATTCAGGGTGTATTTGAACTTTATCATAATGCTAAAGCAAGGCTTCTCAACTTTATACTACTGACCTTTTAGGCTGGATAACTCTTTGTTGTGGGGAGCTGTCCTGTACATTGCAGGATGGTGAGTAGCACCCCGGTCCTTTACCCACAATATACCAGTAGCACTCTCTCCCTTAGTTGTGACAATCCAAATGGTCTCCGGGTATTGCCAAATGCCCCATTAGGGGAGGGAAGGGGCAAAATTGGCCTTGGTTGAGAACCACTGTGCTAGATCATATATACCCAATAGAGTAACAGCACTCCCAAGGATATAAAAATTGGTTCTTGGGGGACAAAAACAACAACAACAACCCCTTAGATATTGTAACAGTGTATATATAACATTCCAAAGGACTATAGAACATAAACAAATAAACAGTCTATCTGTGGTATTAAAATTTCATTGGGAGAAGCAATTAAGGAGAAAAATGTCTAAAAAGGCTACTTGGGGAGGGAGGTTGGAGCAATGATGAAAAATGGTTGAGAAACACTGTACAAGGCAATACCTGAACCATCATACTACTAATATCCCCTAAAATATACAAGGGAGAACATGTTGCTTCTTAAGATGATATTTTACTTAGTTAAATGACTTAAACCAGACTCTATATATTACTGTAACATTGAAAAATTACAACAACTACCAAAAAAACCCAACATATTTCTTTAGTATGAGATTCACTGCCACTTGGGTAATAGTAATAGCAGTAGTAGCAGATGGTACATTTAATGAGACAGTTCTTTATCACATTTCTTTATTATCACATATCAATCATCCTCATTTAACCTGTAACGAAACTGAGCGTTAGAGAGCTTAAGTAAGTTGCTCAGAGTCAGAAAGATTAAAAAATGATGATGCCAACATTCAAACTCAGGCTGTCAGATCCCAGAGTCCTAGCTCTTCACTTTATAGGATACTGCCTTGGATTACAAAGTGACATCTTTAAACTCTTGTAAAATATATCATTTCAAATACTGTTACATAAAAATCTTAGGACTTTTTCTTGCCATTATTCCTTGCATTATCTTGCAAAGCGTTTTATCATAAAATCTCAATCTAACATGACTATACCAAGCAGAGTATTCTTACTTGTCCCTGAGTAATTTTATTACTGTACTTTGTGGTATGAAGTTACTTGCTCATTTGACTGACTAGGTGACCCCCATCACCACTTCATGGTGCTGGGAGTTCCAAGAACAACCACTGTGCCACTAAAATGCACATGCACAAGACACGCCAGACTGCGAAGTCATTTGAACTGCAAGGTTGGCGGTTCAAGCTCACCAGCTGCTCCTCGGAAACCCTATACAGGGTCGCTATGGGTGGGAATCGATTCGATGGCAAACAATAACAAAGACTCATCTGCTGCAACATTCCCAGAATCATTGTCTTAAATTGCCAAAAGTACGCCCTTTGTGAATCACAAAGGAATTCAGAGGAATTAAGCAGTTCATGTTTTAACAAAAAACAATTCAATCATTTTGCCATTATGTTTTAAAATATCAATAACAAAACACCAATTTAATACAATAAATTAGAATTGTGGAAAGCAATAACCTGGTTATATATTTTCAAACTAAATTGTTATTTTAGATACACACTTAAAAATTAGCCATGACTAAAATCACAGTCAATTCCTAATTATTTAAACAAGAATTCCAAAAACCACCTGGACTTCTGAGCAGCCACTTATTAGCTCAACAAGGCCTCTACAAGCAGCCTGGAGAAATAAGGAACAAGCAGATACTGATCCCATTAAGGTTACAGAGGTCAAAATGCCACACTGAATTTTAAGGGGTGTCTGACCAAATTAGAATAAGAACCTGGGTTATGTTCATGATTTGCAACCATTAAGTAGCACCACAAGCCACAAGCCAGCAAAACCAATTAGTCTCATTACCTTTTTCACAGGGAATTTTTTTTTTTTCTGTAACCTCTGTAAATGTCCACTTCTATACTGACATAATGGTTATTTATTACATCTGGAAAAATGCAATGGACACATGATGCCATACAGATTTTTCACCAATGGCACACTTTGCTCTTTATGCTGTCTAGGTAGAGTTGGACAGAAGGAAGGAAATAATAACAACAGGAGCAAAAATCAATAAAATTGAAAACAGAAAAATCAACACAAAGTCAATGAAATAAAAACCCTGTTCTTTGGAAAGATCAATAAAGTTAACAAACTTTTAGGAAGACTGAAAGTCTTTTAGGAAGACTCAGTGCAAGTAGACTGTGTTGAATACAAAAGTAAAAAAGAGAAAAGGCACAAGTTACTAAATAACAGCAATGAAACATGAGATATCACTATAGACCACACAGACATCAAAGCATAATAAGGGAATACTATGGTGGTGCAGTGGTTAAAGCACTCAGTTGCTAATTTATTTTGTTTATCCATTCATCTGCTGGTGGCCACTTGTATTATTTTGAGCTTTTGGCTATTGTAGATCATGCCGCAGTGAACACTGGTATACAAGTATCTGAGTCCCTGTTTCCAATTTTGGGGGTTGTGGAATTGCTGGATCCTATGGTAATTCCTTGTGAGGAACTGCCAAATGGTTTGCCACAGAGGCTGCCCCATTTCACAGATGTACCATCCATACATAAGGGTTCCGATATCTCCATATCCTCATAAACAACGGTCATTTTTCATTTTCCTGAAAATAGCCATCCTAGTAAATGTGATGTAGTGTCTCTTTGTGCTTTTGATTTGCATTCCCCTAATGAGGAAACCCTAAACAGGGTCGCTGAGATGGAATCAACTCAAAGGCACTTAACAACAATGAGCCCTGGTGGCACTGGGGGATCAACAAAGGCTAATAAGAGAATGCTCTGGTGGCACAGTGGTTAAAGCGCTCAGCTGCTAATACATTGTTTATCCATTCATCTGCTGTATTGTTTTCACTTTTCAACAACTGTGGATTATGCCGCAGTGAAAGATGAGGCTGTCGGCTCCCACAAAGATTTATAGTCTCGGAAATGCTAGAGACTATAATTGCTATGAGTGGAAATCCACTCAATGGCAGTGGGCTGTGTTTAATGACTAATGATGCTAATCATCTTTGCATGTGCTTATTGGCCATTTGTATATCTATTCAAATCCTTTGCCCGTTTTTAAATTGGGTTGTTTGTATCTGCCTACTTTTTAGTTCACACCATACGGCCAGCAATTGCGCTCCTGTGCATTTATTGCACAGAAATGAAAACTTTTGTCTATACAAAAACCTATAGATGAGCATTAATATCTGTCTTATTCCTAACAGCTCCAAAGTGGAAACAACCCAAATGCTCTTTATCGTCGATGGCTGAACAGTTAAACGGTGGTACATCATCATTGGTATCAGGAAATGCTACTCAGCAATAAACAGGAACAAAGTATCGATACACGCAACAACTTGGGTGGATCTCCAGAGGGCATTATGTTGAATGAAAAAAAGTCAACCCCAAAGGTTACATACTATATAACTTCATTGATCTTACAGTCTCAAAATGATAAAATTATAGAAATGGAGGACAAATGAGTAGTTGCCAAGGGTTGCTAAGTGCCAGCTAGTTGGTATCTAATAACAATAACAGTAACAAGGGTTAGGACTGGTGGGAGGTACAGGTTGGGGGTTATAATGATAAAGGGCAGCTCAGTGGAGAGCCTTACATGTCTTGATTACGACAGTAGTTGCATGAACTACATTTAATGAACATGAATTATGTATACACACTGTAGTAGTGCCAGCTTTCTTTTAATATTGTTTCTAGAATTATGTAATATATAACCATTGAGGCAAACTGCAACTACCTGTGAATTGATTTAAATATATAGAGTTTTAAAAAATTATATAGTATAAGAAAACTTGAATGCCCTGAAATGGTAAGGTATGTAAGAAACTTAATAGGGCTTCTCCCAAATTTGTCAATAATTCAAAAGTTTACAAGCCATTATCAATAGAGTACTAAAGCTGAAAGAAACGTTTCTAAAATATCCACTACAAATTTGTATCACGTGGCACATAACCAACCAACCATATGAGAGAAAATCCTGCTTTATTTCTATTCTATTTGAAGAGACTACTACAAAATTGTCACACAAAGGACTTCAAAAAATTCATGGCAAAGTTTCATTGTCTTTTAATTTCATTTTCCACAAACTTTTTAAAGGCCTCCTCATATAAAGAGGGAATCAAAAAGTGGTGGTGGTGGTGGTTGTGTGCTACAGGGTCGGTTCCGACTCTTAATGAACCTATGAATATAGTATAGGGTTCCTGAGGCTGTAAAATCTTAAGGGAGCAGAAAGCCTCATCTTTTTTCCTGAGGAGCAACTGGTAGACTCGAACTACTGACCTTGTGATTAGCAGCCCAGCTCATAATCCAGTATGCTATCAGGGCTCCTTAATCAAAAAATGGTGGTGGTGGTTTTGTGCCCTGGAGTCAGTTCTGATTGATTCATAGCAACCCTGTATAGGGTTTCCAAGGCTGTACATCTTTATGGGAGCAGAAAGTTTTATTTTTCTCCTGTGGAACAGGTGGTAGTTTTGAACTGCTGACCTTGAGGTTAGCAGCCCGATTCAGAACCGTTACACTAAAATTAGGCAGATACAAATTTTATAACTGTCTTATGTTTCTCTACAACACTAGGCAGATAAAAACTGTAAGGGGAAAGAGTATTATAGGGAAGTGTAAGACAATTATAAAATGACATATGATTTTTCTCATTCATTTAAATCAGGGGTGGGGAAACTTTTTCTGCCAAAGTGTATAACATCATTCGTGGCTCATACAAAATTATCTAAAACTTAATAATTAGCCTGCTATATTTGGTTAAACATGTGATTAACTCACTCCTAACTGACTCCACGGCACTTAACAACAACGTGATGGCTGAACAGACTTGTCGACACTTAGCAGTAATAACAATAATATGATGGCTGGAAATGCAGTTGCTTTGGCAGGACCAGACCAAATAATTTCTCAGGCCTCATACAGCCCATGGGCCAGATGTTCCCCACTCCTGATTTAAAGCTTTGTGCTCTTGAGCAAGTTACTCCTCTCTGCCTCACTCTCCCTATCTCTAAACTTGAGATAATAGTGGTAACTTCCTTATAGAAATATTATGAGGATTATCTTAACTTACGGATGGTACCTGCAACAATGCCTCCAACACAAGTATTAGTTACTATCATCACTGTCACCAAGAAGCCACGCGTAACCTGGATCTGAGGCTGAGACACACAAGCCCAGAAAGATGCAGCTGGCAGTTGAAGCCCAGAAATCCTAGCCCCAAATGGAGATGACTATTTTCTCAAATTCTAGTTTTCTCCCTGGGAGATCCTTGTTAGTTTTCTGTCCTCCGCGCTGCGTATGTTCTGCAGCTGACTATCCTGTGCTTTCTACAGTCTGGGGAAGGCAATACACACAAAAAGCCAACAGAGAAAAGGAAAACAAACCACCTAAAAAGAACCCAAACTACCCAAGGCTGCCACCTTGTGGCCTTTCAGAGAGTTAGTCTTTGTATTACCAAAGTGTCTTGTTCCCAATCACACTCACACTATGTAGTTTTTCGAGTTGAAAGGGACTATGACATAATCCAGTCAGCGCCTTCATTTAAAATTGCGAAAAATTGAGGACCAAGACACGACAGGCTTGTTTGAAGCCAGAACCAGAAATAGGCTGTGGACCTCTTGAATCCTGTCCTCCTTGTCATAAAGTGCTGGAGCTCACTAGCATAGCTGTTCAAAAATCAAACTCAGGTTAGTGCCCTTGAACGACAGGTAGCTAGCTCCATTTTACCCCTCTATTCTGACACAGCTGCAAAACCACAGATGGGGAACGTCCATGAGACTGCAACAGATGAGGCTGATGCAGGAAATGTAACCTTTTGTGTACTCAAACAAGAAGAGGCAGCATATGATGAGCTTATTTTTGAAGACCTTAAGTTTTATTTCAAACGAATATGAAATACTGGACACTGTCAAGAGCTAACTCTAGTCTGTCTCCTACATCTTTTAAGGTTTTTTAAAATTCATACCCTAATATCATTATTCTAACAAGTTCTAGAAATTTATTTTATTGTTGGGCCAACAATTTTAATGACTTTTTTTTTTCTTCCTGGAAAAGTTAATACTCTGAATCTGTATTTATTGATGTGTTTTTTGTCCTAATCCCCAAAACAAAAAGCTATGAAAACCTTCAACAAAATAAACTATAGCATTCTTTGCGTGGGCATATTGAAACTTCCCCCAAACAGTATCAACTGACATACTTAGGTACAAAACTAGCCATGGCTTCAAACCAACCTTATATTAAGCCATGACAGCATGGGTGTTGTGCCTCCACCAACGATCCAGACTGTGAAGAAGACAATGAGAAGGGTGGTTGTGAACATCATCTGGCGAGCATAGGAGGCGGTGTCTCGGATGGCCAACGCAAACGCCATTGCTCCCCTGAGGCCTGCAGAGACCAAAGAAGAAGATCTCTAGGTTATACGGATAAACAACAATCTCTCCACTGTTGCCACTCAGTAAGAATAAACTGGATCCATTTATGCTTACAGAGCCAAGTTATTTACTCAGAAATAACAATCTTCAAGGAGTTTGTTTGGAGTTTCCTTTTGCAAAAATTCCCAAATGCAATGAGAAAAATACTAATTGTACACAGCACAATTTTAGAAGACTAACACTCTTTTCTTACTTTCAGAATTCTCTTCTTAGTAACTATAACATATACACTACATGTGGATGGCTTTAAGTTCAAGCCTCAGTTTGGGAGTCTAGAAGTCCAAATTTAGAGAGTGCCAGCTCTAGGAAAAGGCCTCTGTCTTTGTCGGCTCTGGAGAAAGGTCTTTGTCTCCTTTCAGCATCTGTAGGCCCAGCATTCCTTGGGGATCTCCATGTATCTTGGCATCAATCTTCCTCTGGATGTAGGAGTTTCAAAGTCCAGAGATCCCAGGTTCAAAGGATACACTTCACTCCCAGTTCTCCTTTCTTGGTGATAACGGGTCCTTCTTTCTGTATTCACTCTACTTTTATCTCTTGTAAGATAAAGGGTGAAGTCCTGGTATGGAGCTATAGGATAAGCCCTGGACTACTAACCACAAGGTCAGTGGTTTAACCCTATTAGCCGCACCTGGGAAACCCTATAGAGGGTCACTATGAGTCAGAGTCAATTCAATGGCACTTGACAACAACAACAAGGTAAAGGGTGCTGCATGCCACACCCCTGGGAATCTCCCTTATCATGGCCTTGATGGGATAACACTGGTAGCGGTGGCTCTGTAGGATAAGCACTGGACTGCTAACCACAAGGTCAGCAGTTCAAGCACACAAGCTACTCCACAAAAGAAAGATGAGGCTTTCTGCTCCTATAAAGATTTACAGCCTTGGAAACTCTATACAGGGTCTCTATGAGTTGGAATTGACTCAACTGACAGAGAATTGCCTTTGGGATATTTGCTTAACTAGGTTTAAAAGTTAGTAGTATTCCCTTTCATCAACTAGATGAATCACTGGTGAGTAAGTGGTAGAGTTTTGCCATCCAAGTGGGAGACCTGGGCTTGACTTCCAGTCAAGTATCTCATATGCCACCCATTTGTCAGTTGGGGGGAGGGAGCGGGTGGCTATGATGCTGAACAGGTTTTAGTTGAACTTCCAAACTAGGATGGTTTGGGAAAAAAGGCCTGATCATCTACTCCCCAAAATAATTCCATGAAAACCCTGGAGCTCCCAATGGTCTCATCTGTAACCAGTCATGGAGATGGTGCAGGACTGGGTAGTGTTTCATTTCATTGTGCATGGGTTGCTTCAATGGCAGCTAATAACAACCCACCACTCATCTGTCAGTGAGCTGCAATATATTGGCTTGAGTGTTGCTGTGATGCTGGAAGCTTTGCCACCATACCAGCAGGGTCACCCATGATGGACAAGTTTCAGCAGAGCTTCCCAACTAAGACAGGCTAGGAAGAAGGGGCAATAGAATATTTCTGAATGTTTAGCCACTAAAAAACTTATGAGTAACAGCAGAACATTGTCAGATATACTGCTGGAAGATGAGCCTCTCGGGTTGGAAGGCACTCAAAAGACAACTGGGGAAGAGCTGCCTCCTCAAAGTAGAGCAGACCATAATGACGCGAATGGAGCAAAGCTCCATTCATTTTGGTACCTTCATTTGCTGATGGGGCACAACTCAAAATGAGAAGAAACAGCTGCAAACATCCATTAATAATCAGAATGTATGACATATGATCTAGGAAAACTGGCAGTTGTAAAAAAAATGAATGACCTAAAAATAGGGAGGGGGCCTACAAAGGCAAGAAGTGACTAGCTTACAAGCTTTCAAGAGGGAAAGGTAGAATCTCCAGTGAGTTGTATCCAATCTCTCTAGGCGGGGCTGATGAAATGAAATGCAGATAGGTCTCTTGTGATACAATAGTGAATAACTGTTATCAGGACTGATTGTGAGGGTCGGAAACGTAAAGATAGATGTTTTATAGCAAAGAGGGGAGTGATTAACTTTTCAGTCTAGGAGCGGAGGTCCCTGGGACCATCAACGGGTAAGAGCAGAGAGCGAGACCCCACCCAGAGACAAAGGCAGAAACGATGATGTGGAGAGATGGAGCAGCTGGGAATTTCAGATCCAGAGAGGGAGAGAGACTGTGTGCTGAAGACCGGGGTGCAGGCTTGTAGTGTATACCCTTTGGTTGGTTGATGATGCATGGAGGGGATTGTAACCATGGCAATGAAACAATATACAATAGAATGAATGTAAAACTAATGTTCTCCCATGTAAACTACCACACAATTCACAATAAAACATTAAAATAATAATAATAATAATACTGACCTAGCCACAGAGGGCTAGAGCCAAGAGTGAAGGGTCCAGTTGATATGAAGTGAGGGGAGATGCCCAAGAACGCCCAAATGTGTAGCAAGTATCCATTTGCTACACCATCCTTGATGGCTTGATCATCAGAACCCGAAATGAGGAAGATAAAGAAATTTGATAAAGGAAGCAAATGTAAATTGCTACAATTTGATGCTCTTGACCTATACCAACCAAGAGGGAAGGAGTCCTCACATCAACTATCACTCATCAATCATATCCCTCTGTACACAGGATTGATAAGGATGGGCAACTTAGACATTGGCTACCTGAAATGGGGCAGGGGTGGGGGGTATAAAGGCACAAAGTGACTGGCTTACAAGTTTTCAAGAGGAAGGTTAGTTTAACAGTGTGTGTAGGGGGTGGGGGGATCAAGTCCCCACTCAATAGTTTTTATCTTATCTAGATGGGTCTGGTGAAAAGAGATGGGGATAAGATTCTTATGATTCAATAATGAGTAACTGTTATCATGACTAATGGAAACTGTCACAATTGTAAAGGTAGAAGTTTTGCAACAAAAATGGGGGAGCAGTTAATCTTACAGTTCAGAAACAGAGGACCCTAGGACCAGCAAAGGAGAAGAGCACAAGCAGAACGCGGGACCTTATCCAGAGAAGCAGTGACACCAGAGATGAAGGCAGAGATGGTGTCATGGAGAGAGGGAGCAGCTGAAGTCTCTATAGTCATGGGAAGAAACGGATTAAGAGATAGCAGCCAGGAGGCAGATTTGCAGAATGTGCCCTTTGGTGGTTTAAATAATTATATATGCATGAGTGTTAAAAAAAAAAAAAAGAGTTAAAATGAATAGAGAGAAATATTGTTAACTGATGGTACATGGAGGGGATTATAACCATTGTAATGAAACAAAGTATATGACTTGTTGAATGTAAAAGTGATGATCTGCCCTGTAAACTTTGACAATAAAAACTTTAAAGAAACAAAAACACAAACTGTTATTTTTTTCTAAAAAAGGTCATACTTGACAATGCTTCTCTGCTTTTTCAGCTTGCTGCCTCCTGAAATTCAGGTCTTCTAAGCCCAGTTTGAAGGCTATTCTCTTTGTGAAGATGGCCCTGAACCTCTTTTTCCTGTCCATGTTTATTTCACGCCTCTTGTGTACAATTCACCATCCTTTCTTGGGAGATAGTTAGCTCTTTTTACACCCCCACACCCCACACCCCACACCCGTGGACTATGAGTTACTTGAGGGAGCTTTGAATACTCCACAATTCAGTACTGTAGCTTATAAAAAGAAGATGCTCAAGGAATCTTTTTTAACATTAAAGGAAATAATTTGAAAAGCTGATTAATTAGGGCAGGTTGTATATTTATAGTCAGTTGCAAGCTTTTTGTTGTCATTAAGTGCTATTGAGTCATTTTCGACTCATAGTGACCCTGTGTAGGGTTTCCTAGGAACAGCTGGTGAGCTTGAACCACTGACCTTGTGGTTCAAACCGACCATTCAGTCCAGCACATTAACCCACAGTGACACACCAACTGCAAGTTAGTACTAAATAAAGCAACGTTTTACAGAGCCGTGTCCATTGATGTGATTCCAGTATGACTCCATATAAGCGGCTGCTAATCCCTCTATCCATTTGTTGAGCCACTCACTCCCTTCCACACACATGACAGTGGCACATTTGGCCCCAGTATTTCCTACCTCTGTTCTGCAGAGATGCTCTAACTTGGTCTCATCTATATAAAGTCTGATGCTCACCACCATCACTGCAACGCAATATCTATTTAGACCAGTTGCTCTCTCTTTATGGTGAACATCTGAGAGATGGTGCAAATCAAGTGTAAATCAAGCAGAACTTTCACAGCTGTTATATTCAGACTTTTGATTCAGCTTGCTTATTTAAGTGTAGTTTATGTCTTCTGCTCCAAAGAAAGTTAGTACTAGGAGGGACCTCAACTACAGCCCAATTTCATTATTTCACAAGTGAGGATACTGCAGCTGGGAGGTATGAGTCACTCGGTTCTTGCTCTTTCTCATTAAAGAGCTGTTTTCTTTCTAATTTTAGGTCTGGAGCCTTCTGGGAACTATGGACATCTACTAGAAAACAGTCACCACTTTAAATACTTTATATCTCCAAGTCCCTTGGGAAGCAGAGATGGAAAGAAGATGCAAGTATTTTAGGGGATAATGCTCACATCTGGCGATATGGTTTGCAAAATTTATATCAACTCAGTTGGACTTGTACATCTGTGTACAAAGCAGTTCAATAGATACAAAAGAAACTTTAATTTCTGACTTTCAAGAGTCTTATCAATTATTTTTAAAGCATACTACCTGCTATATAAAACTCATTTTCTTTACTTTTATACTTTTATTTTTACCTGAAAACATCATCATGTGTTGAAAATTCCAGCCAATCTTATGCCTTCTGCCCAAATTGAGGAAGAAGGAGAGTGGGTAGATATGTGCAGCTCTGCCCAGGAAGATGGCAACCTGTCCACCAGGTGGGACGTTAAGGACCAAACCATTCCAGCAGGACTTTCACACAGCCTCTGACTAAGCAGAGAATTTGAAGGATGCGATGGCAACTCATTATGATCAGAAGAGTTGAACAAAGAAGCTCTAAAGAAGTATCTCAGCAAATAGTGTTAAATTGGCCAACTTTCCCAACCTTGTAGCCCACAGATTTAATATCTTGCCTATTAAACACTAATTTTGCAACTTCTTGATTTAATCAATCTGACAATGACCAAGTCCCCAATCTATCTAAAATTGATTCCCAGGGTGGGAAGTTGAGAGAAGTTGACAGTATGTTGGGCTCTATTCGAAGAAAAATCATAACAAGCAAAAAATACCAGCTACTGATTCAAAAAAGTTTGCTGATTAAGAGCTCGTAAGTTGCACTGGAAAATAAACATCAAGGAGTCTTGTGACCAGGAAGAGCCTGCAAATAAGAGATGGGAGAAACAAAACATTCTAACACTAAGATTCTTTCAAATCATTCATGAGAACCAATCTGGGCAAACTTTTCTACCTAAGTAGCCAAAATGTCTTTTGTATATGTAAGAAATGGAAAAGGGTGAGTGTGGAAGAGGAATGAACTCTACTGTGGAGACCAAAGAATTCAGGGAAACTGGTCATCCGTCACTTGCTGAGATAAGAACAGAGTCCAGCAGAGAGACCCACAGTCTGCTGGTTAGAGAAGGAAACCACCGTGGGAGCAAGAGGAACATTGAGTTTCCGTTTAAGCAAAGCACCAGCTGTAGGAGCTGCAGCTGTTTCAGACAGATGTGAAGACAAAACTATCTTCTGCCTCCTCTAGAGTGAAGCCTTGACTATTTTTCTTTCCTTTTGTTTGGTTGTAACAGAAAGAAAAAGGTAGGTGCTTTATACAGCACATTCCATCCCAGAAGCAAAGAAAAAGTTCTGTAAATGGCAAGAGGCCTTAGGGATTTAGACTACATGGCATCCACACTCACCCTCTGAGACAGAGCCCTCACTGTAAACAAGGACTGCAAATCTTAATTTCTCTCACACAGGATGTCATGTCAGAACTAAAAATGAAAACAACAAGCAAGGTCTTTCTTAAAGAAATTCATGACAAACCCTGAAGCAACAAATTAGTTTGTTGAGGGTGTACATCCAAGAAAGGAACCATCAGTTTAAGCATCTAGCATTCTAACTAGAAGGATCTCAGACTGTATTAGGGTTCAGACGAGAAAAAAAACACTTCTGTTTTGTCAGCATTCCCAAGATCTAAGAATACCCTTGAGTCCTCCGAAAAGGCAAAAAATCAGTAGGAGTTTAGAGGAGGCACGAGAACCCCCTAAAATCAGAAGCAAAGGAATTCATTAAGGGTCTTGGCTTTGATGGTCGTTCGCACTTGGGGACTCCTGCGTCTCTTGAGATCAAGGCTCAGCTTGATCAAGTTCACTTTAATGAAAACATTAAGAGGCCAAGTGAGCACAACTCTTAGCAGCTGTCTGTTGACTCATTTCTAGGCATCCATATTCTTCCTTTACTTGAGAGAAGTCAATCAAAAGGATCTCTCTTCCCAAAACTGCACAAACAATGGGACTAAATCAGGGAACCAAGTATTTTTCCATTTTATCTCTTTCTTTTCTTTTCAAACTTATGAGCACAGTTTTATTATAGCAAAAGGATACAATAGGAAGCTACTAACCCTTCCTTTTCTTTTTTTGGACAAGAAGGCTATTTTCTACCAATATTCAACAGCAGTATGTAGGTCTATGCATGCTCAGTGCCCATAGGCTTTCTTGGGCAATGTGAGGAAGTACTGCCCACACTGGGCACCCAATCAAGACTACGAGAAACAGAGATTTCTGGTCATCCAAGTTGGAGACACTGAAGTTGGAATTCGTACAACAATAAAGTCTCAAATATAACTCTGGAGACTGACCGTGTGGCTACCTTTTTGACTTGTTAAAAAGGGTACTTTAAAAGTTAAACTACCACCTGCCATATACCATGGAGGCCTGGTGCGGCACTGTAGGATAATGCACTGGACTGCAAGGTTGGTTTGAACCACAGGGTCAGCAGTTCAAACCCACCAGCTGTTCCTTGAAAACCCTACACAGGGCTGATATGAGTCAGAATTGACTCAACGGCACTTACCAACAACAGCCATACACCACTGGAGCAAGGTGGCTCTGCATGATAAATACTGGACTGTCAACCACAAGGTCTATGGTCTATGGTTCAAGGCCACCAGCTGCTCTGTGGGAGAAAAATGAGGCTCTCTGCTCCTGCAAAGTTATACAACTTCAGAAACCTCTATACTGGGTCACTATGAGTCAAAATCAATTCAACGGCACATAACAACAAGTCATGACCATCTTTCTACCTGACACAGAAAATGCAGAAAGGATCATGTTAGAATAAATGCTTGCTCTTTCCATTGAAGTTTATGAAACCTCTCTTAAGTCTTATTTTCCCTCATCATAAAAACATCATGAACTCACACTGGTCAGTCACCCACTCAAACCACTAACTTCCCCAGCAGTGGTCACCTCTTCCTGTAACAAACGTTGCAATGAAAAAAGGATACAAAAGCTCCAATGATGAAAATGGGGCTGAAAACGTGCTTCTGGAAAGTAAACAGTGCCAAGCCCATGTAGGAGAAGATGAAGTTCTCTGCCAGGAAGTGCAACACCTCAAAAAGCTGCACAGAGAGGAGAAAAGGAAACTGTAAACCCTGTAATCCCACCTTCCCTGTGTTAGCAGGTACCTTAGAAGTACTAAAGATTTTCTCTCACCTGCTTGGTTCGACTTCTTGATTCCACTGACAGATTGTTGTAGGTGTAATGAGCTTGTGTGATTCCACAGAAAAGAACAGCTACAACACCTGTCAAGAGATAAAAATAAAATTCAATAGGGAAAAGGGGGGGCAGGGGAAAAAATCCTGCTGAAACAAATTTAAGGAGGAAAACCCCAGGACATCTAACTTCCTGAATATTCTGAAAGTTTCCTATAACTGAAATCTGCATTTGAAAAATACTCCTTGTCCGAGCCACTCAATCCTACTGTCCAGCATAGCCAAGTCTCCCAACTAATCCCTTTGTTTCAGTTTTAGGGCACTCTAATTCCTCCTCTAAACTCCTAGTAAATTTGCCATCTGTATTTGGCATTTAATATTTATCCCTCTCAAAGAAACTGTGAGAATCTGTCATATACTTTTGTCATATTTCTCTCTGTTGTTTGGATGAATTAAAATTTCAAACCAGTGCTTTATATTTTTGATTGGTTTGGGGGTTCAGACAAAAATTACCACTTTCTGAACGGGCTGAGAGTACTATTCCATTTATCCAAGCCTGACTGATCTAGATTTCTGGTTAACAGTAACCAGTTTGTTGTACAAAACAATTGACACACATAGAACTTTGCCAATACTTTTACAGAACATGGTCAACTCTTAAAGGAGTGGAGTCTTAGTGTAGCACTGTAGGATAAGCACTGGAATGCTACCTGCAAGGTCATCAATGCAAACCTACCAGTCACTCCTTGGAAACCCTATACAGCGTTGCTATGAGTCAGAACTGACTCGACGGCACTTCACCTTCACCACCACCACCACCACCAAAGAATGGAGTATTTTGTAATGTTGCATATAGATATGTTGTAGTGTTCTGAAAAGATGATACAAGTACTTTCTAGCTATCTAGATTATGCAAAGATTTTCTGCCTGAGCTTTCTAATGGATAAAACCAGTAATCTATTTTTCTAAAGAAAGAATCTGAGTAACAGGAATTAACAGCACAACAGTAACCATACTAATAATATTTGAAACTGGCACCATGTTGTTGTTGTAGCTGCCACTGAGTCAGCCCCCAACTCATGGCGATCCCATGCACAATAGGATTGGACGGTTGTGATCCCAAATCATGATATTTAAAAGCAATGATAAAACAGACCAGCGATGGAACAATGAGATAATTTAGGGGAAGATACATGTAAGATTTTAATAGATGCAGTAACCTTTGAGCTAAACATCTACTTATAGTTACAATGAGTGGTCAAACACATAACTGACTTTGGAATAATAAACTTTATCCTTGAAAAGCATGTCAGTTTGGGAAACTAACTTGTTCATTAAGGCAGGATGAACACTCCTAGAGCACAGCAGGTTCATCAACTCCATGTAGCTGCTATTTAAGAATCATTCCCTCCCCTCCTGTCAAGCTCCCATAGCCCCTGCTACAGTGAGGGGAAGGGCAGCAAAAACCTACCTGTAAATCCACAGGCTTCTGCCAAGAGAAATGTGCTCCAGGACATCAGGAAGAAGAGTGCTGTCTCCAGCAGGGGGAAGCAATGCAGCTTGGTAAACTTGGTCACGTCAGCACCCTGTCAAGGAATGCAACTCCAAGCACAAGACACAGAGTCACCAAGAACCACACACTCTATTAGCGCTGGACCCCATCCCTAAAGGGCTACATTTTCCCTTCCACTCTTCTTTTGGGGCCCTAAAATTGCAGCATAATTTTGACAAATTGAAAATTCAGCTTTATAAAGAAGCTAGAAACTGGTTTTCTGAGCTCCTTGCAATGACTGTGTTCTGAGAGGTACAATTTTGGCACAAGGTTTGATTGGCAGGTTCTTGCTGGTGGTGCTAGGCATGCCTTGGGCAACTCTGGAAAGACAGTCTTGTGAGACTCTGAGTGTGTGGGCCACCAGGGGCTGAGTCCACAGCAGGCGCTTATTGAAGGAATGTCTGGGAAAGAAAGAAAGAAATCTACACCCATGGCCAGCTCTGAGATGCTTTGGGGACCAGACCTCCCCCTCTTAATACTGCCATTCCATTCCATGTGGGGTCAGCGTAGAACCATCTCATGAGTGGTTTCAAAAGGGTATCAAAAGGGCCTCTGTAAAAAAAGCAATAAAAAAAAAAAAAGGCACTATAGCACTCACTGTCCAATTCGTGTCCACTAGCCAACTGTGGCTATTACTAAACACTTCACATGTGATTAGTACAAACTGAGATGTGCTGCTAGCATAAAACAGATGCCAGATTTCAAAGGCTTTGTGCAAAAATTGAATGTACAAAATCTCATTAATGATTTTTATACTGATTACATGCTGAAATGATGTGGCTTGCAGCATTTGTGGCCTGCATTACATTTCTATTGGGCATTGCTGATCTAAACACCCAAGAAAGAAGACATGATGATGAAGAACTCAGGGCAGGGTGGCCGCCCTGTTCATACTCGTATTTGGCTTTTTATGCTTTTCTTTGAGGTGAAATTTATATAACATAAATCAACCATTTTAAAGTACAAAGTTTAGTGGCATTAAGTACATTCAGAACGTTGCACAAGCACTACCTGTATCTAGTTCCAAGACATTTTCATCATCTCAAAAGGAAACTCTATACCTGTTCAGTCACTTCCTATTGTGCTCTTGCTTTCTGTCTCTAAGGACTTACCTATTCTTGGTGTTTCATAGAAATGGGATCATATGAGGGAGCGTTAAAAAGTTTGGGGTGGGGGGACATTTGTGGAAAAAATAAATGTTGTCCACTAACATTTTTTTCACAATATGTGGTCTGTCATGTCTTTTATGCTTTTTAAAAAGCAAATACTATACAGTCCTTGACTTAAGGAAGGCTGACTTTGTAATTCCCACTTATCTCCCCAGCTAGCTATGGACATGTTAACACCATATAGCCCTGGAGGGCAGGCAGCAGCAACAACCTTGTGACCCGGTACTTGACAGTCTTTCTTGAGATGGTCCCTGATTCTCAGGTCTCTACCCTCTCCTCAGCTCCCTTCAATTCCCTGTGCTTTCTAGTGCTGTTATAACAGAAATGCCACAAGTGGATAACTTCAACAAGCAGAAATGTATGCTCTCACTGTTTAGAAGGCTAGAGGTCTGAATTCAGAACACAGGCTCTGGAGAAAGGTCCTGGTCTCCTTTCAGCATCTGTAGACCCAGCATTCTTTAGAGTTTCTGTGTCTTTGCATCAATCTTCCTCTGTCTGGATCAAGGAACTTCACAGGGCAGGACACATTCCACTCCCACTCCCGGCAATTCTTTCTTGCTGATCAAGGGTCCCCTCTTTCTCCTCTCACTTACTTCTCCCTCCTTCCATATCTCAAAAGAGATTGACTCAAGATAAAAGCTAATCCTGTAACTTGCATCTGGCATCATTAACATCATAGAAGTGAAGATTTACAACACAGAGGATATTTACTTTAGATCAGGACTGATCCCATCCTGGGGGAAGTGATTACATTTAACTAGATCACTGAGAATCCAGGCCCAGCCAAGTCCACACAAAACCTTAATTATCACAGCATGTTTATGTGTCTTTAATGGGCCTTAATGGCACAGCAGTTACGCTCTTGGCTGCTAATCAAAAGGTGAGTGGTCAAACCTACCAACAGTTCAGTTGGAGGAAGATGCGGCAAGTAGCCTTGGTCCAAAGGACATATTCTAACTTGGTGGTAGTGGTGGTGGTGGTTGTGTGCTGTGGACTCATAGAGACCCTATATAGGGTTTCTGAGGCTGTAAATCTTTACAGGAGCAGAAAGCCTCATTTTTCTCCCATGGAATGGCTGCTAGTTTCAAACTTGACCTGGAGGTTAGCAGCCCAACTCGTAACCACTATGCTGCCAGAGCTCCTTCGTCCCTCTTTTTCTGCTCAAGTCTCTCTCCTTTTATGTCTTGTAAGATAAAAGGTAGTTAATGCCACACCCTTGGAAAATCTCCTGTAAATTGGGTCAGATTGGTGGTGAAATTAAGGGTGTATCTCACCATTAAGGAGCTCTGGTAGTATAGTGGTTATGAATCGGGCTGCGAACCTTAAGGTCAGCAGTTCAAAAGTACCAGCTGTTCCGTGGGAGAAAGATGAGGCTTTCTGCTCCCGTAAAGATTTACAGCCTCGGAAATCCTGTACAGGGTCGCTATGAGTTGTAACTGACTCCACGGCACTTAACAACATCTCACCATTAATCCTCTTATTGGTTTATTGCATCAAATCACATCATGGGTGATAGCTCCATCTCAACTTCCAAATCAGTGAGAATCCTGGCCCAGTCAAGTTGACACAAAACCTTAACTATCACACTCCCTTACATCTGATGTTCCCTTGAGGTTCCGTCTCCAATTGGTTCACACAAAAGAGAGAGAAAAAGCAAAGGTCTAGAGAGTTGTTCTCAGACTCAACAAGCTAGGAACCCAACAACCTTCATGTTTCACCAAAGGGACACAGCCCAGTAGAACAATCTATTTCAGATTATCTGAAAGGAAGAGCTAAGAACTCTCTTTTTTAAAGTGTAATGCCATATAAATGTACCTAGGCAGAGGCAGAAACAACAAAAAGGATATTAGAGCAGTCACAACACCGGTCACAGCTCCCATGGTAAAAGAGCCACTAAATATACCTAGAAAAATTCCAACTGACTTAAAAAAGGCAGCAGCATCAAAGGCATGAGTGTTCAGTCCCGCTGGCTGGTAGGCAACAATAGACCTGGGGTTTAAAAAAACAAAAGAGAGTTAAAAAGACTACCTTGGCTTTACACCAAGGTACCTAGTAAAAACCTACAAACACGGGTTCCTATGCTCTACAACCATGATCCCTGGTATATGCATTAATTGAATCTGTAGCTACAATGTTACACTGGCGTCAGCATTCTGATCACTGCTGAGTGTGCAAAGCAACACAACTTTATCAACACAGCTAATAAATCTCCTTTAGGGAAAAAAAAAAAAAAAAAAGCTCAATTCAATAGTGAACACTTTTAAGACAGGTCTCTCCATTTAGCCCAAAGCATTCAGGAAATTCTGGGCAGAAATACTGTTACTTATGAGGACAGTGTAATAGGACTGAAATATTGTTACTTACGAGGACAGTACAATGGCAACAGCATCATTAAGGACACTTTCTCCAAACAGAAGTGCATAAAGGTCCACGTCTGCATGCAATTCATTAAATATCGCCAGTACAGTCACTAAAAATTGCAACAAGCATTAAATCAGTTTCAGTTCTCAAACTTAAACCATTACTTACAGATTTACAGAAGCAATTCCCATCTTAGGTGGGACAGGGTGGTTTGGGAGGCAGTAAGGGAGTCAAACGTGAGTTGTCTGTCTATGGTGGAAATTGTTGTTGTTGTTGTTAAGTGCCATCGAGTCGGTTCCGACCCATAGCGACCCTGTACAGGGTTTCCGAGGGTATAAATCTTTACGGGAGTAAAAAGCCTCATCTTTCTCCCACGGAGCGGCTGGTAGTTTCGAATCACTGACCTTGAGGTTCGCAGCCCGAGTCGTAACCACTACGCTACCAGAGCTCCTTCATGGTGGAAATTAAGACAGCAATATTCCTAATCTGAATGCAGTTTGATATGAATCTTGATTCTAATATCTAAAAGACTATGCTTTCCATTGCAATCCCATCACACTTTGAGAACAACTATAATACCATCATCGCATTATATTAGAGAACTTAGAAACAAGACAAAACAAAAACATAATTAATGTGATTTGGGTCTGCCAGTGGGTTGAAATATCTTTGATGGAAGGAATTCTATTTTATTAAGTACTGTTTACTCCCAGAATTTAGCACAGATTCAGGGCACAGAAGAGGCTGCTTTTAACAGAGGTTTGTGCAGCAAGAAAAATCTACACTTATGATCTTGTTGATATTGTATTTTTTTAGATTCTCAGACAAAACAGAAGTCCTTAAACTTTTTCATCTCAGAACCCCTTCAAACTCTTAAAAATTGCCAAGGTACTCAAAGAGCTTTAGTGTCTGTACATTACAGCTTTTAATCTTCAATGTATTATTAAACAAAATAATAAAAATGAGATATTAATTAATTCATTAAAAATTAATAACAAATCTATTTTAAATGAAAAGTAACATAAACATATTTTCCAAAACAAAAATGCCTTCTGAGACGAGGGATATTGTTAAACATTTTTAAAATCTCTTTAATGTCTGCTTAATGGAAGCCAGAGAGTTCTCATAGAGGTTTCTACATATAATCAATAGATATTTAATATCATATGCTCTGCAGACTCTGGAAAAAACCCTATACACTTGTGAGAGTACAAGAGTAAGCAAGATAACTTATTAGTATCATTATTAAAATCATTTTGATCTTCTGGATCCCCTGAAAGGCTTCAAGGAGTTCTCAGACCACACTTAGAATCATTGTCTTAGAGAACAGTTTCTCTACCACAACACAAGCAGTGTAATTATCTACATAATTCTCTGTTGTGGGCGACTGTCCTAAAGGATGTTGTACAGTATCTCTGGTCTCGGTCCACAGGATACCAGTAGCTCCCCTCCTCAATCTGACTGTCAATTGTGTAAAAATTTTAAAAACTGAAAGCTAAAAACTCACTTTCCCATCCTCCCTTGCAGTGAATGCTGCCTTTTTCTGCCTGGAAGATGGCAGATATGGCACAGTCATCTTGACTTTATGGCATATTAGCATGTGAATGAAACCCAAGAGTCATGCAGTAAAAATCCAAGTGCCTGGATATCTGATTGTAGTATGAGCCATGGCACCAGCCTTGGACTGTTACCTGAGGTAAACACCTATTTTAAGTTAGCATTAGCCCAGAATTTTCTGTTATTTGTAGTCAAAAGCATTACTAACAAATTAGAAAATCAAATCAGAGAAATGTACAGTCTAATGAATCATTATAGGTCAATCACTTTTATTTTTAAAACCTGTAAAACAATGTTGTTTTGTTTTATTTTGTTGTTAAGTTTTTATCGTGGATTGAGTGTAAATTTACAGGGCAGATCATCAGTTTTACATTCAACAAATCACACACCTTGTTTCATTACAATGATTACAATCCCCTCCATGGACTATCAGTTAACAGTATTTCTCTCTATTCACTTAGGCTCTTTTTATTTATTTTTTTTCAAAACACTCAGGCATATATAATAATTTAAACCACCAAAGGGCACATTCTGCAAGCCTGCCTCCTAGCCACCATCTCTTAGTCCCTTTCTTCCCATGAATCTAGAGTCCTCAGCTGCTCCCTCTCTCCATGTCCCCATCTCTGGCATCGTCTTGCTGCTTCTCTGGATAAGGCCCTGCATTCCGCTTGGGCTCTTCTCCCTTCATGGTCCTGGGGTCCTTTGTTTCTGGATTGTAAGATTAACTCCTCCCCTATTTTTGTTACAAAACTTCTACCTTTACAATAAGCCAATCACTCTTGTAACCATTCAAGAAATAAAACTCTGCCAATCATTTTGGAAGCCTTCCTCCCTGTTTTTTTTTCCATTCTCTATCTTAAACCCCTTCCTTTGCTCAAACGTAACACTAACCTGCCTTTTGCAGTAATCACTTCCTTGCATTTCATTAGAGTTTGATCACCCAAATATACATTCTCTGACACTACTGCTTGATTCTGCCCTTTAATAAATTTTAATGTCTTTTTTACTTATGCGTAACATTATAGCTGACATTCCTTTGTCAGTTCTGTTTTCATAACACCCTATTGCCTAGTCTCTCAGTTCTGAATTTACCAATCCTGATGGATGCCGTTCTTTCACTATTTCTATTATTTTCTTAATTTCTTTTGGAACGGTGGTGGCTGTTGTGTGCCACAGAGTCGGTTCCAACTCATAGCGACCCTGTATAGGATTTCCAAGGCTGAAATCTTTATGCCACCACTTGTCTGTCAGTTGGTCCTCATATGCATGTCAAAGCTGGACAGTGACTAAGGAAGAACATACAAGAATTGATGCATTAGAGTTATGGTGTTGGGGAAGAGTGAAAAATAGCTGTCTGGTGGTCCATCTTCAAAATCAAGGAAATGTTGGGTGGAGCAAGTTGGCATGACAAAAGGAAACTCTGAGAAGAGGAAGGGATTAGTTAGACCGCCTAGACTCTTTTAAAATAAGAATAGACCCATCAAAGAAGTAGGGGAAGTTCATGGGGAGGGGATAAAACTTAACTTTGACTGAGAATGCTCCCTGTAGGAGCTAGTAGGCAATAGGGATTCCAAAGATTGTAAACTCCAAAATACCCAGTAAAGGAGAAACGGAGGAGGGGCTTTTTCCGAGTTAAGCTAATAAAACTATTTGTCAAATGGCCAGGTGGCACATCTGCCCAAGTCTACTGGGCCAGGCACCCGATTTTGCAAAATTGAATAAACAGGCCTGTTTCTCTCTTGCTCTGGTAACGTAGTGGTTACGAATTGGGCTGTGAACCGCAAGGTCAGCAGTTTGAAACTACCAGCTGTTCCGCGGGAGAAAGATGAGGCTTTCTGCTCCCGTAAAGATTTACAGCCTCGGAAACCCTGTACAGGGTCACTATGAGTCGGAACCGACTCCACGGTACTTAACAACAACAACAACATCTCTCTCTTGCTAAAACGAGTGCGGATTGGATTCTTTGACCGTTTGTCAGTAAATACTTGTGATAACCCTTCGGAGACGTAAACCTAAGAGGCGCCAAGGGTAGTGTCTGGGGTACAGACCACGTTTCTCACAAATTTGGGAGCTCGTAAGGGATTTTCTGCCCACTTGGAGCAGCAGCCCTGGTGGAAAAGGAGATGCATCCCACCTTGGTTTTGGTGGCCTACTCCACAGGGGTGATCCCTCCCAGTGAGAGCCAGAAAAAGACCCAAGATTGTTAAAAGGTGATCAAAATTAGCGAAAGAGCTGTGAAGGACTGAAAAGAGATTAACCACGGCGACCAGGCAATCTGTGTACGGCCCAAGGCGGGAAAGATTGGGCTGTAAGTATTGCTTTGGTGGTCAGGCATTTTCGGGGGTATCATGTGATTGAGACGCATATTGGATGCGAGGTGAGTGCAGAGCCCCTATCCAGTCGGAGACGGGCAAAGCGAAATCTCGGGGTGTGTGTGCAAGAAACCTCCAGGTTTGCGCATACAGGGAAACTCAGACACCAAGACCAGCAGAAAATGGGAAACGAGAATGCTAGGCCTAAGGAAGAAGGGAGATCAGAAAAGGCTCCCACAGACATTCTTCCTGGCAGTCCTTTGGGGAGAATGTTGAGGGCTTGGGGAGACAATCCCCGAACCAGGGAAAAAGATAAACAAAAGATGATTAAATATAGTTGTTTTATTTGGCCAAGAGAACCAATCCATTCACCACCTGTGTTCTGGCCTCAATTTGGTTCCAATGAGGACTGGGTCTGCCAGGCCCTAGTCCTTCATGTAAATGATAGAACTCGGCCTTCTCAGGAGGAGATAGCCTATGCTCTTTGTTGATTAGTAGGGGGAGCGGAGTCAGTTCAAAAGATGTTCCCCCTTAAAGAAGACAAGGGGCAGCCTCAGTCAAAATCATGGGAACCTCTGTCTTGTCTGTTGTTGCTGGTAAGTGCCATGGAGTCAGTTCCAACTCATAGCAACCCTGTACAAGGTTTCCGAGGCTGTAAATCTTAATGGGAGCAGAAAGCCTCACCTTTCTCCGGTGGAACAGCTGGTAGTTTCGAACTGCTGACCATGAGATTAGCAGCCCAATTCGTAACCACTACACTACCAGAGTTCCACCCATTATGCTGCAGGACAGAAAGAGATAGGAACTAGAGATGGCGAGGAAACCAAGACCAAGAATAATGAGCCAACTGAGCCAACTGCTCCCCAATACCCAGGTTTGAGAAGGGAGTTAAAGCAATGCAAAAGGGATCTTCAGCAGTTTCCCCTGAACTTCAAACAACAGATGTTCTCCTTTCGGGAAGTCCCCGTGGGCCAAGGGGAAATTGGATTGGTTCAATGCGCCTCTCATCAGTACTGAAGTCAGAAAATTCAAAAAGGAAATGTTAGTCCTCCTTAAAGACCCCTTTGGTCTGGCGGAACAGTTGGATCAATTTCTAGGGCCAAGTTATTATACTTGGGGGGAAATGATGTCCATTATTACCATCTTGTTTACAGGGGAAGGAAGGGGAATGATTAGAAGAGCGGCTATGGCAGTTTGGGAGAGGGAGCACCCTCCTGGGGGCAAGATGCCCCCCCCTCCC